TTTCGCTGTTTGCTGTCTGTCATATATGTTTTTCGTTTATTTTTCTGTTTATAAATCAGGTCGTTGGTTTTCCCGTACATTTCAATTGTTAACATTTTGTCTTGTCGGGTCCTTTTAAAGCTTAATATTTTGAGTATATAAAATAACAAAGGAGAAAGAAAAACAAAATAATAAAAGTCAGATCAGTTGATATATTAATATCTCTACACTAGACCTAGAAAAAAGCTTACTTTAACATTATGTTTTATTAATTAATAGTGTATAGTTACTTAAAAGCGCATTTAAAGTAATGACCAGCTAATGTCCTACTCTTTAATATACTAATATAGGCTGCTTAACATTCTTCTGAGTTTATTTCATATGAGTACGCCAACAAAAAAGATCTTGCTCAAAGATTAAGTTATCTCTTGCCATCACGAATATAGCATAAGTAAACCATACACGTGATTTCAGTAGGTATTCTGTGATGGCCCTTTTAAATTTATTCATATGTGTATTAAGTGTTAGGTCTAATCAATGTGGTTCTAATCCTAATACAAACTTATTGGTCTCATTATTTACAAATATGGGTGTGACATAAAAAGATATAATTGGACAGACTTGCTGCTATTTTGACATCCATGTAGTCGTCTCTCTGTACATTTGCTTTTATTGGTATTTAGTGAACAAAGTACTGTATAATATTAAGTGTGCGACCCTACCCCATATGAGTCTAAAACTTAGATATTTAAGGAATGACTGTAATATTTTTTCTGTTTATGAAGAAATAACATCAAAAATGTGGTGCACACTGAATAACCTGCATAGCGGGTTATTTTAAAGTGTGCACCACATTTTTTATGTTATTTCGAATAGACAGAAAAAATATTACAGTCATTTCTTATAATTTAATTCTAAATTCCATTTTAAACCGGAGTAAACCATGAAAAAACGCTGATGACGCCACAGTCACATGTCAAAGTAATGTCTATGAGCTGATAAACAAAACAACGTCAGCCAATCAGAAGCTGCATTACATCCAAAATTAAATTATTCACAGATAAATTTTTTTTTTATGTTATTGGGTTGGTGGTTCTTTGGCACACTCACTCAAACACATATAATACATGAATGTTAAATAGCTATTTAGTATAGTTTGTCAAATCGAACAATTTTATCTAACCGCTAACTAGGACAATCTTTCGACCGATTAACCGGTTAACCGATATTAAAGTTGATGTTCATAGACTATGTCTACAGTATACTAGTATACTTTAAGAATCTATTTAGATTTATCGTGACATCCTTTACTAGATCATTCTGTATTGTCTGCATGTAAATGGTACGATTGATCGATTGATTATTTGGTTTTACGTCAAGTGGCAAATATTTCATATGAAAATAAGAAGATTTGGTATAATTGCCAATGAGACAACTCTCCACCAGAGACCAAATGACATAGAAGTTAACAGCTATAGGTCACCGTATGATCTTCAACAATGAGCAAAACCCATAGCTCATAGTCAGCTATGAAAGGCCCCGAAATAAAATGTAAAAGAATCTAAACTAGAAAACTAACGGACAGTGTTGTAATGACACAGACCAAGAGCAAACTATGCAAACCAATGAACGAAAAACAAATGAGAAACAGCAAAAAAGGACAACCACTCAATTACAGGCAATATAGAATGGACTAAACTAGTCTGAAGGCGCCCCCCCGCCCCTTAACCTGGGACAGTGGTGTAACAGTGCAACATAAGTACACACTATAAAAATCCGTTGAACAGGGATTAACTCATCAGATCAATACAAAGCAGAAATACATCTAACAAAAACACAGACCAAACGTGGCAGGGTACTTATCATATCATCCCCACAACAAAAAAGACACTATAAGTACAGATCTGAAAGTACTGGCAGTTACTGACAGCTAGTTCAAAGCCATTTACAACTAATAAAAACATCTTGCATGTTCAGGACGAAAACAAATTTTAAACAATGAATTCAATAAGGTGTTATTATCTTATTAGATAACCCTTTAATTATTGCTGATCATTCTTTAAAAATCTTCCGGCGACAACATATCAATATTAAAAAAAAATCTATGTTGCATTAGTAGTTTTGAGGATATGAGAAAATTCTAAAAGTGGGAGGCGGGAGGTGGGAGGGGGAGAAGGGAACCCCCCTGTCCACCGCCTCTTATAAGCAGCGTTACAGAAAAATTCAGATTGCATTAAGGGATTGATTTTTGTTTGCAAGACGTCGTTTGTCAAATTTTAGTGAATATTCAAAACAGAAATATAATGCATTTAAGGAACAACCCTTCATTTAAAAGGGGGGGGGGGGGGGGGGTTTGTATAGTATTTTGAAGAAAAAAAAAACGAATTCTTTAGGGAAGAAAAATAAATAAGCTGTCGCAGCATTGACCACACTATTCTGTTTTACAAAAAGAAATAATATTTTGTTTCAACTTGGGTTGAAGTTAAATCTTCTATTTAGCTAAAAATAAAACTGGTATTCAGTATATTCAAACCAGTAACCCCAAATGACCAATCTGACTTGCAATTTGTTAGCAAATATATCACAAACACAACCACTCAATAATGTTGATAACATATTTGACTCAATGAACCATAACAAGTTTTTACAAATTGATTTGCTCGCGTAATGTAATGTGAGTTATGCATTTTCTTACACAATTTAATGTTCTCACAAATATTCTTTCATGTACCATCGATACGTTCGAAAACGCTTTAAACGCTATAAAACCCCTTAGCAACATCTAGGACTAATATATTTAGTCAAAATGTCCCAGGTTAAACAACCAAAGACAAAGTAATAAAAAAATAATGGTTAAACTTGTTTCAGTTTCATGCAATTCATATAACTTCAAACTTAAAATTATCATATAAGACAAACCACAAAAAAAATTGCAAAAATTGTCATTATAGGGCAATAACTCCAATAAGGTGTCATCAGACGATTTCCTCCATATTGTCTTAATTGTAGATTTGTCTTGCTGGTCATTTTTGCTTATTAAAGTTTCTATCACAATTTTTAAGATATAAGGCAAAAACGCCAAAAAAGTGGTAAAATTGTCATCAAAGGATAATAACTCTAATAAGGAGTCGACTGACGATATTGACCATTAGACTTATTTTTAGAACTTGTCTTGCTGATTATTTTTGCAATTTAAAGTTTCTTTCTTTTTTTATTTTCAAAATAATAGCTAGGCAAAAATGAAAAAATGTTAAAATTTGTCGGCCATAACTCCTATAAGAAATCGTCTGACAGTTTTGATTTATACAAACAGCTGAACATTCTGAACATTTTTGCTCCTGTCAGATTTTTCTCTATTTATAACGGTTTTCAAAGTAATAGACAAAACTTTCATTTTATCCCTTTGCTCAATTTTTATACGCCCGTTTATGGGACGTATTATGGTATACCGTTGTCCGTCCATCCGTCGTCAACATGTCGGATATTAATTGTTTTGGTTTTTTATAAATTTTAGATTTTACGTTTCGGAGTTATGGGGTTTTATTCATTAAGAAAGGGGGATTTTCCAGTTGTCAGACAATAACTTAAAAATACTTTCACCGATTTGCAAGAAACTTTGGTGAATTGTTAATATCTATTGACATTAGCTTCCTTTCAATTTTTATAAATTTTACATTTTACGTTTCTGAGTTATGGAGTTTTATTCATTACAAAAAGGGGGATTTTCCAGTTTCGGACAATAACTCGAAAATGCTTTGAGCAGTTTTCATGAAACTTTGGTGAATTGTTTATATCTATTGACGTAAGCTCCCTTTAGATTTTTATAAATTTTAGATTTTACATTTCAGAGTTATGGGATTTTATTCATAAAAAGGGGTGATTTTCCAGTTTTCGGACAATATCCTTAAAGTGCTTTGAGCAGTGTTCATTAATAGTTATCAAAGGTACCAAGATTATAATTTAATACGCCAGACGCACGTTTTGTCTACATAAGACTCATCAGAGACGCTCAGATCAAAATAGTTATAAAGCCAAACAAGTACAAAGTACAAAGAGCATTGAGGACCCAAAATTCCAAAAAGTTGTGCCAAATACAGCTAAGGTAATCTATTCCTGGGATAAGAAAATCCTTAGTTTTCCGAAAAATTTAAAGTTTTGTAACAGGAAATTTATAAAAATAACCATATAATTGATATTCATGTCAACACCGAAGTGCTGACTACTGGGCTGGTGATACCCTCGGGGAAAAAACGTCATTAAACTTTGGTGACTGATTTATATCTATTAAGATAACCTCCCTTTAGTCTTTCATAAATTTCTGATATGACATTGAGAAGTTATTGAACTTTATTCTTTGAAAACGCGACGGTCGTATCATCATTTAATTTGGCCCAGTAGTTTCATGTAAAATTGTTGAGGACGGACAACGGTGGACGCCAAGTGATGAGAAAGCTCACTTGGCCCTTCAGGCCAGGTGAGCTAAAATGGGGCATTTTATCTACCATGGAAACATATTGACAATATATTGTACATTCATATATATTTTACTGAATATTAATTATTTTAGTTGAAAATTATGTCTGATTATGCTGATTCTTATAAATAAAAAAGATGTTTTGTAAAAGAAAATTAGTATAAAAATTTTGACATTTTTATTGCAATTCAAAAATTACTACCTCAACGTTCTATGATTCATTTAATACAATCATTGTATGCATAGAAGTGTCAGCAATACCTTGATACTAACAATAAAGATAAGCAATCGTATTGGATTGTAAGTATGCTTTAAATCTGACAGTCAGAAAGCTAAAATTTACAGTTTATCAAAATTGTCACATAATTTGAGTTATTTCCCTTTAGCTAGCAACAGTTTAACTAAAATGTAGGATAAAGATAAGAATATCCATGAATGCTGAGGAATGATACTATTTAGTCACTATTTATAAGGTGTAAGCACAGATTTCTTGAGACATCATCAGCAATACATCAATAATTGACCATTTGGAAAAAATTATTTCCAGATTCTGTCAGATCTGCCATGTTAAACAAATTGCTTGGCAGTGGAAGCTATGAATCATTTGACATGCGCTGCATGGTTACCGGGCAATTCGCAGTTGGGAAATCAAGTCTGGTCAAGCTTTTAGTAGGGGATAATGTTCCAGAAGGGAGACGTCCCACTGATGGCATTTCCCTCGTAGAAGGTCGCTGTGGACTTGATATTGAGACCAGAAATTGGATCATGATTGATCCAGGTAAGAATGCACAAATACACACATAGATTTATATCCGAGGAAGGTTCAGTGTTTGCCAAATGGCAATGTGGGGGAATGGGGTTTGTGGATGTGCTCACGAAGGTTCTGTCATTTTACATATTTATTGTCAGTCTTAAGTTTGAATCAATTCACATTATGAAATTTCTTTTTTTCATACATTGTGGTTGGTAAGTATTTAGAAACTAAATTTACACCTGGCAGATAATGAAAATAGACATTAACAAACTAAATATCAAATCATGACATACTTTAGTTCTTCTTATTTTCATGGATTTTTGTTTAGCATTTTGATGCCTTACTAATGCGCTTTGCAGGGATTTATTTTTTGTCTAGATTTGTTTAATTATTCACTTGAGATAACGAGGTTGCCTCTTTAGGAGCTAAATTTATTATAAAATTATTTGACAATTAAAATTGATTATGTTTTTATGCCCCCGCCATAGCGGTGGGGGCATTAAGTTTTACCCTTGTCCGTCTGTACGTACGACGTACGTCCGTACGTCCCAAAATTGGTTCCATTCTCTAACTTGAGTTTGCCTCAACCAAATGTTATGAAACTTATACACAATGCTTATTACCACAAAACACAGATCAAGTATGAATTTTTGAGGCGTCACTTTAACCGTTCTAGAGTTATGCCCCTTTATAAATGGAAAAATTGCAAAATTTTTAGTTTCCGTTCTCTAACTTGAATTTACCTCAACCAAATGATATGAAACTTATACACAATGCTTATTACCACAAAACACAGATCAAGTTTGAATTTTGGTGGCATCACTTTAACCGTTCTAGAGTTATGCTCCTTTATTAAGTTGAAAAATTGCAAAATTTCTAGTTTCTGTTCTGTAACTTTAATTTGCCTCAACCAAATGATATGAAACTTATACACAATGCTTATTACCACAAAACACAGATCATGTTTGAATTTTGGTGGTGTCACTTTAACCGTTCTAAAGTTATGCCCCTTTATAAATGGAAAAATTGCAAAATTTTTATTTTCTTCTAAATATCAAGTAATTTTTAAAATTGGAGTTATCTTCCTTTGTCCAGGATTACAGTTGAATCAACTACAATCAATGCTTTATACAATGCAGCGATTAATTATTTTGACTTCCAAAAACACAGATCAAGTTCAATTTGGGTAGTGTCACTTTAACCATTATTGAGTTATGCCCCTTTATAAATCGAAAGATTGCAAAATTTTTAGTTTCCCTTCTGTAACTTAAGTTTGCCCCAACCAAATATTATGAAACCTATACACAATATTCATTACCACAAAACTAAGATCAAGTACAAATTTTTTGTTTCCGTTTTCTAACTTTAGTTTGCCTCAACCAAATGTTATGAAACTTATACACAATGCTTATTACTACATAATACAGATTAAGTATGAAATTTGGTGAGAACACTTTTACCATTCTTGAGTTATGTCCCTTTATAAACATAAAAATTGCTGAATTTTTTTTCGTTTCTGTTCTCTCACTTTAGTTTGTCTCAACCAATGTTATAAAACTTATACACAACTGTTCTAGAGTTATGCGTGTTTACAAATAGAAAAATTGCTGAATTTTTAGTTTCTGTTCTCTACTTAAGTTAGCCTCAACCAAATGTTATGAGACTTACACACAATGCTTATTACCACAAAACTCAGATCAAGTTCAAATTTGGGTAGCGTCACTTTTACTGTTCTTCAGTAATGTCCCTTTATAACTATATGCTATGCAAGCGGGGGCATCATCTGTGTCCACATGTGGACACCATCCACATTTGTTTTTTTTTCATTTTGGACAAACCCTAGAAGGTGACTAGTGCTAAGGGGCTTTATTTAATAAGTAGGTAATTTAGTGTCAGTCTTTGGGTCATGTTAGTCGTTATTGCTATTTCTCGCTCAATTCTGACAAAAGAAGATGTAAAAAGAAACTGAAAGCAGTTTTTGTCGAGCCTGCGACTTTTGTCGCAGAAAGCTCGACATAGGGATAGTGATCCGGCGGCGGCGTTAGCTAACTTTTTAAAAGCTTTATATTTTAGAAGCTAGAAGACCTGGATGCTTCATACTTTGTATATAGATGCCTCATGTTACGAAGTTTCCGTCAGTCACATGTCCAATGTCCTTGACCTCATTTTCATGGTTCAGTGACTACTTGAAAAAAAAGTTCAGATTTTTTGTTACGTTTAATTCTCTCTTATTATAAGTAATAGGATAACTATATTTGGTATGTGCGTACCTTACAAGGTCCTCATCCCCATCAGACAGTTTTCACTTGACCTCGACCTCATTTCATGGATCAGTGAACAAGGTTAAGTTTTGGTGGTCAAGTCCATATCTCAGATACTATAAGCAATAGGTCTTGTATATTCGGTGTATGGAAGGACTATAAGGTGTACATGTCCAACTGGCAGGTGTCATCTGACCTTGACCCCATTTTCATGGTTCAGTGGTTATAGTTAAGTTTTTGTGTTTTGGTCTGTTTTTCTTATACTGTATGCAATAGGTCTACTATATTTGGTGTATGGAATGATAGTAAGGTGTACATGTCTAGCTGGCAGGTTTCATCTGACCTTGACCTCATTTTCATGGTTCAGTGGTCAAAGTTAAGTTTTTGAGTTTTGGTCTTTTTTTCTAATACTATATGCAATAAGTCAACTATATTTGGTATATGGAAATATTTTATGATCTATATGTCGGTCGCACAGGTTTTATTTGACCTTGACCTCATTTTCACGGTTCATTGCTCAGTGTTAAGTTTTTTTGTGTTGTGGTCTGTTTTTCTTAAACTATAAGCAATAGGTCAACTATATTTGTTGTATGGAAGAATTGTTAGCTGTACATGTCTGCCTGGCATGGTTCATCTGACCTTGACCTCATTTTCATGGTTCATTGGTCAATGTTTAGTTTTTTGGTTAATGTTAAGTTTATGTGACAGTTGTAATAAAGCTTTATATTTAGGACTATCAACATAATATCAATGATTAATAAAGAAGGCGAGACATTTCAGCGTGTGCACTCTTGTCCCAATGTGAACAAATAATATTGACATATTGTGACCAAAAGTCATCCCTGTATTGATTCTACATGTCATTAAAGTTACCGCTAATTTCAAAGTTTTATCTATTATGCATATATATATATTACCAATTAGAAATGTGTCCAGTTTTGCGATTTGATAACAACAAAGAGATGTCAGTATATATTCAGGAAACTTCTAGGGCATAATATATGATGTTTTTATCCCCAATTGGAACCTCATGAATGTTATTGTAACACATGTTACTATGTGGCGTAGTCTAAAGTTACAAAGAACACTACAAGAATGTCAGAGGCTCACAGAGGGAAAATAATAATGTGCATCCGTCAATAAAACATGTTTAATTTAAAATCACACTCGAAATACTTAAAATTAATGTTTTAAAGTGTTATTATAAATTATTACATACACGATAAAATAACAAAATCCTTCCATGTATGCGGAAAATATCAGGTTGGGTTTTTTCACTCTATTTGTTATGAAAAATTGTCAAACAAACATACAAACAGTAAACAAGAAATCTTAAAACTTATTTGAAAATATATTTGTATAAAAAAAGTGCATTTATAAGAATTACCCAAAACAATAAGAAGAAAAAAACCACGGTAATGAAGTTATATATATACTGCATTGTGAATGTTTAACAAATACCTTGTACTGAAAAAAAAACCAACATAAGGCAGGGGTAATCAGTAATATAATAGTAATTCAGGTCTCAGACAGGGTATATAATGTGACATTCCCGGCTTAGGGTTAATATCACCTTTGCCTACTGCTCAGGGAATATGAACTCTAAGCCGGGAATGTCACATTATATACCCTGTCTGAGACCTGAATAACATATACAAGTAATATATAGAAAAGATTATATCAGTTATTTGTTTTTTTATACAGCAACTTACAATGCCTTGGATGTTGTATACAATAAAGTGTTAATGACCTCCGTAGAAGAAGATGAAAGTAAACAAACAAAAACACCAGGAAAACATGAATCTGATGCCAAACCTGTTGATAGTCAAAATAAAGAAGATAATCGTTCTCAGAAGTCAGAAGTTACCAAGTCAACAGCTTCCCCTGTGAACCTCTCGGGTGAACCCTCTACACAGCCACAAGCAGCCCAATCTTTCTCACCACAGATGTCCTCTGGTGAGTCTAAAAAACAGCAAATGAAGAAGAAAATGACAACCAAAATGACCAAAAATGAAATACGAAAGAGAATGGAAAAAGTCCTCAAAAGTGGGAAATATAAGATGAAAGTTGGCAGACTCATCTTCTGGGACTTTGGTGGACAGTATGTCTATTATACAACGCACCAGACATTTATGACTTTCAGGGCTTTGTTTCTAGTAGTTTTTGACGGAAGTAAAGGATTGAATGAAGTAGTCCCTGATGTACTGTGTTTTCCTGGGCAGCACATGACACCAACCCCAGCAGGTAATTTATGTTAATCAAAATTGTAACATCTCTATTACTGAACTTTGTCATGTTTATATGAAAATGCTTTAAAATATATTACTTGAAGGCAGACTACAGTATTTTTAATGTTTTCACTTTTAACGGAGATTGTTAGCAGTTAAAAAAATACAAATCCGTATGTACTTCACATCTTTGTTCATTTACATGAGACATATCAATGTAATAAGAAAAAGGATTGGTGCCAATATCGGGACATGCTTACCATCCACACAGGAGAACACTAGTCCACACCCTGTTTTAGTGGTAATCGTGTTGATCAATCTATAATTTTCTGTGAAGTGCTTGTTGACTGCTGGTTTGTCTTGTTGTCATTTTTATTTTGGAACATGGTGTTTGTATTCTATTATTGAACTTCTAGTTTTTGATTGCTTCTGTTTTTAGCTCACCTGGCCCAAAGGGCCAAGTGAGCTTTTCTCATCACTTGGCGTCCGTCGTCCGGCGTCGTCCGTCGTCGGCGTTAACTTTTTACATTTTGAACTTCTTCTAGAGAACCACTGAATGGAATGAAACCAAACATGGCATGAATGTTCCTTATGAGGTGCTGACCAAGTGTTGTTACTTTGTAGCCGATCCATCATCCAAGATGGCCGCCAGCGGGGGACTTAGTTTAACATAGGACCCTATGGGAAATGCATACAAATGACTTCTTTTAGAGAACCACTGAATGGAATAAAACCAAACATGGCATGAATGTTCCTTATGAGGTGCTGACCAAGTGTTGTTACTTTGTAGCCGATCCATCATCCAAGATGGCCGCCAGCGGGGGACTTAGTTTAACATAGGACCCTATGGGAAATGCATACAAATGACTTCTTTTAGAGAACCACTGAATGGATTGAAACCAAACATGGCATGAATGTTCCTTATGAGGTGCTGACCAAGTGTTGTTACTTTGTAGCCGATCCATCATCCAAGATGGCCGCCATCGGGGGACTTAGTTTAACATAGGACCCTATGGGAAATGCATACAACTGACTTCTTTTAGAGAACCACTGAATGAAATAAAACCAAACATGGCATGAATGTTCCTTATGAGGTGCTCACCAAGTGTTGTTACTTTGTAGCCGATCCATCATCCAAGATGGCCGCCAGCGGGGGACTTAGTTTAACATAGGACCCTATGGGAAATGCATACAAATGACTTCTTTTAGAGAACCACTGAATGGAATAAAACCAAACATGTCTTGAATGTTCCTTATGAGGTGTTGACCATGTGTTGTTACTTTGTAGCCGATCCATCATCCAAGATGGCCGCCATCGGGGAACTTAGTTTAACATAGGACCCTATGGGAAATACATACAAATGTCTTCTTTTAGAGAACCACTGAATGGAATGAAACCAAACATGGCATGAATGTTCCTTATGAGGTGCTGACCAAGTGTTGTTACTTTGTAGCCGATCCATCATCCAAGATGGCCGCCAGCGGGGGACTTAGTTTAACATAGGACCCTATGGGAAATGCATACAAATGACTTCTTTTAGAGAACCACTGAATGGAATAAAACCAAACATGGCATGAATGTTCCTTATGAGGTGCTCACCAAGTGTTGTTACTTTGTAGCCGATCCATCATCCAAGATGGCCGCCAGCGGGGGACTTAGTTTAACATAGGACCCTATGGGAAATGCATACAAATGACTTCTTTTAGAGAACCACTGAATGGAATAAAACCAAACATGTCTTGAATGTTCCTTATGAGGTGTTGACCATGTGTTGTTACTTTGTAGCCGATCCATCATCCAAGATGGCCGCCATCGGGGAACTTAGTTTAACATAGGACCCTATGGGAAATACATACAAATGTCTTCTTTTAGAGAACCACTGAATGGAATGAAACCAAACATGGCATGAATGTTCCTTATGAGGTGCTGACTAAGTGTTGTTACTTTGTAGCCGATCCATCATCCAAGATGGCCTCCAGCGGGGGACTTAGTTTAACATAGGACCCTATGGGAAATACATAAAAATGTCTTCTTTTAGAGAACCACTGAATGGAATGGAACCAAACATGGCATGAATGTTCCTTATGAGATGCTGACCAAGTGTTGTTACTTTGCAGTCGGTCCATCATCCAAGATGGCCGCCAGCGGGGGACTTAGTTTAACATAGGACCCTATGGGAAATACATACAAATGTCTTCTTTTAGAGAACCACTGAATGGAATAAAACCAAACATGGCATGAATGTTCCTTATGAGGTTCTGACCAAGTGTTGTTACTTTGTAGCCAATCCATCATCCAAGATGGCCGCCAGCGGGGGACTTAGTTGAACATAGGACCCTATGGGAAATACATACAAATGTCTTCTTTTAGTGAACCACTGAATGGAATGAAACCAAACATGGCATGAATCTTCCTTATGAGATGCTGACCAAGTGTTGTTACTTTGTAGCCGATCCATCATCCAAGATGGCCCCCAGCGGGGGACTTAGTTTTACATAGGACCCTTTGGGAAATACATAAAAATGTCTTCTTTTAGAGAACCAATAAATGGAATGGAACCAAACATGGCATGAATGTTCCTTATGAGATGTTGACCAAGTGTTGTTACTTTGCAGCCGATCCATCATCCAAGATGGCCGACAGCGGGGGACTTAGTTTAACATAGGACCCTATGGGAAATACATACAATTGTCTTCTTTTAGAGAACCACTGAATGGAATTGAACCAAACATGGCATGAATGTTCCTTATGAGTTGCTGACCAAGTGTTGTTACTTTGCAGTCGATCCATCATCCAAGATGGCCGCTAGGGGGGGGGAGCTTAGTTTAACATAGGACCCTATGGGAAATACATACAAATGTCTTCTTTTAGAGTACCACTGAATGGAATGAATCCAAACATGGCATGAATGTTCCTTATGAAGTGCTGACCAAGTGTTGCTACTTTGTTGCCGATTTACTGTTCAAGATGGCCACCAGGATATTTTATTAAATAACGGGACCAATATTAATCAAAATTTGGCCTCAATCATTATTTGGGTATCTGTTATGATTTTTATCTATCTTTACATGATTTCTAAAACCAAAGTAGAGTCAGGTGAGCGACACAGGCTCTTGAGAGCCTCTAGTTTCAAAACTAATCAAATCTTACAAATAAAACCATTTACGTTATTAGGTAACAGGAATTAAAATATGATTGAGATGCATTACAACTCATATCACATATTATATTTTAGTTTTATTCTACTTTCAGTCTTCTTACTGCACTGGGTAAACTCAATCCTAACCTATTGTAAAGTGGTGTATGCTGGCATCCCTAAGATCTTGTTTGTTGCCACCCATAAGGACAAGGTACCAGTGGTAAGTGAAAAAGATATAGATAGGTCTTTTAGACAGGCATCCCTAAGATCTTGTTTGTTGCCACCCATAAGGACAAGGTACCAGTGGTAAGTGTAAAATATCTAGATAGGTCTTTTATACAGGCATTCCTAAGATCTTGTTTGTTACCACCCATAAGGACAAGGTACCAGTGGTAAGTAAAAATAAAATAAATAAATTGGACTTTTATACAGGCATTCCTAAGATCTTGTTTGTTACCACACATAAGTACAAAATACAAGTGGTAAGTAAAAAAGATATAAATAGGTCGATTATACAGGGCATTCCTTAGGAGATCTAGATATTTATCAATAGTATATTAAGTAATTTGTATATTAAAATGGTGTGGTAGACTTCTTTACATCTATCCATGTTTCCATTTGTTCCATGAAATTTTGATTTGGTATTAAGCTTCATGGTAATGATCTCCTTTGATTTTTTACGCATTTTTTATGTTGGGGGGGGGGGGGGGGGGGTTATTTCAGCATATACTCTATGGGTTTTTCTTACAGTTGTATGCCATACTTACATCTCCTTATTTTAATATAAGGCAATTTTTTTGAACAGATAACTCCCATCAACCTTACCATTATTTCGCTCCATGACATTATGTATCTTATGAATTTATTGCTTTTGAAATTATTTTTAAAAAAATGTATCCCTATATTTTGAGTAGACAAAATCTTACAATCAGAGACTATCGCCACAAGAAATACACGATAACTATATACAATAATTGTCCCGACATGTTGTGGGGGACATGGAAATTGCGGCGTCTGTTAGTCTTGTTAGTGCTCTGACATGTACACGTCTTGCCCATACCTGTCAACTGACCTGGATCCTGCGGGTGTGACCCGAGATTTTCACAATTCTGATGGGTCACCCGGGACATCCGCCGGGTGGCCAAATAACCCGGAAATTCAGAAAATGACCAGCTTTCACCCAGATTCCTAATCCTTCAGACTGATTTCATAAGTGATTTTCATTTGAAATACCGGCAAATTCGTAATTCTCCCTGGACATGAAGTTCAACTGGCTGTGTAAACTCAAATTAAGTGACCCATTTCAGTGCATGGGTTCACTTGACAGCTTTGGTGTCAAACACACTGTTAATTAAAACCAATTACCATAGCTTTAGGTCGTAAATAATTTGTGTATTCCAAAGTTGGTTTAAAAACAATTTGAGTTACTTCCCCTTTTTGTCACTGTTCACAATATACTCCTTAAACTTTTTGTAAAAAGATTAAATTTAAAATGAATTGAATGCAAAAACATATCAGAATAACATTTTTACTAATTTTTATACGACCGCAAAAATATTTTTGTGGTCGTATATTGGTATGACGTTGGCGTCGTCGTCGTCGTCCGAAGACACATTAGTTTTCGCACTCTAACTTTAGTTTAATTGAATGGATCTCAATGAAATTTTACCATAAGGTTCAATACCACAAAAGGAAGGTGGGAATTGATTTTGGGGGTTATGGTACCCACAGTTAAGGAATTAGGGGCCAAAAAAAAGCATTTTTGTAACTTCCAGACATAACTTGTGTGTAAGTGTATGGATCTCTCTGACATTGTACCACAAGGTTCCATATCACAAAGGGAATGCTGGGATTGATTTTGGGGGTAATTGTCTCCAAATTTTAGGAAAAAGGGGCAAAAAACAAGCATTTTTCTAGTTTCATGACAATAACTTGTGTGTTAGTGTATGGATCTCTCTGACATTGTATCACAAGTTTCCATATCACAAAGGGAATGCTAGGATTAATTTTGGGGGTAATTGCCTCCAAATTTTAGGAATTAGGGGCCAAAAAGGGGCAAAAAACAAGCATTTTTCTAGTTTCATGACAATAACTTGTGTGTAAGTGTATGGATCTTTATGAAATTGTACTACAAGGTTCCATATCACAAAGGGAAAGCTGGAATTGAGTTTGGGGGTAATTGCCCAAAATGTTTAGGAATAAGGGGCCTAAAAGGGGCCAAAAATAAGCATTTTTCTAGTTTCCAGACAATAACTTGTGTTCAAATGTATGGATCTCTCTGAAATTGTACTGCAAGGTACCATACCACAAAGGGAAGGCTGGGATTGATTTTGGGGGTAATTCCCTCAAAATTTTAGTAATAAGGGACCATAAAAAGGCAAAAAAAACAAGCATTTTTCTAGTTTCAGGACAATAACTTGTGTGCAAGTGTATGGATCTTTATGAAATTGTACTGCAAGGTTCCATATCACAAAGGGAAAGCTGGGTTTGAGTTTGGGGGTAATTGCCCTAAACATTTAGGAATTTGGGGCCAAAAAGGGGCAAAATAACAAGCAGTGGTGCGGTGGGTGGGAATAAAAAATTAGTTTCTGCATGAAACTTTGCTGCGTTCAACCACGCTAAATTTTCTAATTGAAGTGAGCGCACTACAATCACAAACCAATCAGCTAATTAGTCATGTGACTGGTCATCACTGGAAGCCCCCTTCCCATTGGTAATGCCAGTCTCTTGACCAAATAAGGACTGTCGTCCGAGGGCAGACGAGCACAGCGGCAATCCAACACCAGTCTGGCATGTAAAGATAATTATTGATCAATACTCCCCTATGATGCAACGGCAGAGTTAATTTTATTTTGATTAATAATATATTTAAAATAAATACCCCATTAATCTAATCATAACTCTTAACCCCCCACCCCCCTCCCCTTAACCCCACCCTTTTTTGCCCCCTGGTAAGATTTGCTGTGCTGCTACCATCTCTCAGACAAAATCCTACATGTATATTTAATGGCTATCTCTGCTTGTATTTTCCTAGTGTAAAAGTGTGAGTATACAACTTCTGTATGAGGAGTCTCAACCAGGTCCTGAACCAATTCAAATAACTAGTTCAGAGTCTAGTGAAGAAACCATTACATTTACTTGAGGCTGAATAAAAACTAAATACAGGTTTGGGCCAAGTAAATCCACAGTTTAATTATAATTCCAATTAGATGCAAACATAATTGGCAAATATAGCCAAAGACAAAATTACATAGATCTGCAAAACTGTGGTACTCCAAAAATTTGCCCAAACCTGTATAGTAGTGAGTAGAAATTATTTTAAGGAAGATGAGGTAAAGGCTGTAGCAAAAGCATGCATCACCTGATGACGGTAAGACAAGGATGGGTCCAAATAGGATTTGTAGGCATCGCTACACCAGTCTCCATGCGCTTGGATGACCTCACCTGGCAGGCCACACTCCAAGGCAAAGGAGGCCCCATCTCTGCGAAAACTATGACCTGAATATTGGCTGCTGTCAATACCTAAAAGGAGTAAAGCGTGTTTCAAACGAGCCAAAAAGGCTGGATATGTGAGTGGGGTAACTGAATGTTTGTGTAAATAAATGAATGCAGGACATGGTGTTGTATTATTTGGAACCATATTATGTAACAACAACAACGCCCCTGCTGGACAAAAAGGGGAATCAGGAATTCTGGGTAGAGGAATCTCAAGCACTCTTTGTGCATATTGAATGGTCTTGGTTTTGCGGATTCTCAAAACAACCCCTTTGGGTTGAAAAATAATATCCTGCCTGCTTAAGTGCACCTTTGGGTCAAACTGGGATGGAGACGGGATCAAAAGATTTGACTTCCTAAGAAATGAGAAAAATGCAACTAAACAGGCTGCCCAGAAAGCCAAGTCCCCGGTACATGACAGATTGATGGTGGTAAAAATTCGTCTCAGAATAGATGGGGTGATGGGTAACTTCCTATTGCTAACAGTTCCAAGTACTCTTTTTGCCCCCTGCAAAACAGAATGTACAAAATGACCAGCTAATGGATCTGGTAATCCTGTTTCAACATGAATTAATTTAATAATAATCAAATAATTTGAAATAGAGTTATATTGCAGCCTGCGAGATAAAAATGCAATGTAACGTGCGGCATTCTCATTTGATAAAGGAAATAGAGGTATTTCAAACATTTTACAAAACTGTACATAGGATTTTAAATAAGTCATGTATGTCTTTTTTGTTGATTCAGCAAATGTATTACCCCGAAAATGGAGGACCAGATCATCAAGTTCCTTTAGATCCCTGGTGCCCTGTATGCCTAAACAAAAGAAAAGAAAGGGCAGCATTAGACATATGTTCGTACAATTGGGAAATAAACAGGGGCTGGGGTAAACAATATCTCATAAAAAACTCAAATGAACTCGATTCATGGAGCCTTGAAATGTGGTCTGCTAACACATTGCTAGAGCCTGGGACATGAACAGCCTTAATGTGAAAATTGAATGAGGCTGACAACCAAAAAAGTTCCCTTAAAAAACCCTTTAAGATCTTGTTACGAGATGTACATTTATTAATGCAGGCAACTGTGGCCATATTATCACACAGAACAATAACTCTTTTATTTTCCCAACTACTAGACCAGCGTTTAGCAGCTAAAATAACTGAAAAAGCCTCAAGTTCATTGATATGGAAACTAGAACAACGAGGGAAATCTTGTTCCCAATTGACATAGAACCAGTCTAAATCATGGAAGCCGCCCCCTCCGCTTTTACAAGCATCTGTTATAACAGACGTAATTGGTATCTTATCTAAAATAAGGGATTTCCCATTGAAGGAAGCAATAAAATCCTGCCACCAAGTGATATCTGCTAGAAGTTCACCCTGGACGCGTATTTTGTGCCAGTCTTGCTTAAGACATGTAAAGCTATTAATGATCCAGCGAAGAAATACTCTTCCGCCATGAACCACTGCGGATGCCCAATTTAATTTGCCTGCTAAAGATTGGAGCTGCTTTTTTGATGCGCGCTGGCGCTGCTTAAACTCTGCTAAATCATTCTTCAAGGCAGAGAGTTTTTCATCAGGAAGGCGCAATTCCATAAGCGTGGAATCTATTTCAATCCCCAAAAAGGTTATTTTTTGACAAGGGCCTACAACTTTGGACCAGCTGATCAAAAAACCTAGAGAACACAATAGGCGAACTAGTGTGTTTAGCACTTCTAAACATCTTGCTTGTGTTGGTTCGCATATCAAGAAATCATCTAAATATGCGACAATAGTAAAGCCTCTACGTGACATCATACGTTTGACAGACTGAGACAATCTATGAAAAATATTAGGTGCTAATTTTGCACCAAAAGGTAATTTGCAATCATATAAAGTATGCTCAATGCCATTAGGAAAAACCCATTTAAATCCAGTAACTTGTTGACTTTGCTTACTAATTCGAACAGATCTATAGGCAGATTTTAAATCCACTTTTGCCAAAAAATAATTTGGAGCCACCAATTTAGCAGCATCATCAATAGTGTCAAAACCATTTTCAATACCGTTTAGTAAAAAGGATTTATCAAAGTCATTTTCCAGTTCCAGCTGCCAAACTTTTAGATTAAGATCACGTAGAGACTTTACCCTGAGTTTTTTGGAGGGCCACCAAATGAGTGTGATTGTGCTGAGTGATCCCGGTTACAACCTGGTACTGAACAGATGTGTTCAAATTTACAGAAGGTTGACTGACAACCCCTTCTCCCATTAAACCGTCTGCATATCTCCTTTCCTGCATGAGAATGGGATGCATACCCTGCAGGTTTTGAAGTGCCTTTCCCCCAAGACTTTGAATTATTTGACATATTTACATTGTTAGGTTGCTGGAATCTAGGGCGTAAGAACACTGTTTGAAGATGGGGAACATCATTGCACCAGCGAAATTTATGTTGATGTTGTAAACACCTGTACTCTCTGTCATAAAAGAAGACAGAGACCATGTCATAACAAGTAATTAATTGGTATATGCGCTTTGAATACGACATATAATCTAGATAATTTTGAGGGGTAAGAGCCCCAGTTTCCAGCAACTTGTACATAATAGAAATATTGGCCATTGACCACTGACAAAGTGTTATTGACTCCAATTTGGGTTTTACAGGGCCTGACTTGAACACCAATTTCCCCCCGTTAGCCTGAGAAATTAAACTTTCATTGTTATCAGATTGAAAAACATTGGAACAAACAAAGTCAATAATATCTAAATGTTTAGAGTCCACTATTGGCACCGATTTTAGGCATAATTGCGGGTCCTGCCACGAAAAAATGTCACTGACTCCAGGAACTGTACCTTTCTGTGTGTTGCTCTGGGAAGTTTCTGGTAATCCTGTCACACTCAGTTTATTGGTCTTTAGTTGATCCATCGATGCCCGGATATAAGGGTCCTCTCCGTCTCGTTGATGGGGATGCATTTCTAATCCACTTCTGGTTATTGAACTTCCGGCTCTGATATCGGATTGAGGCTCCGCGTCATTTGCCGCCATGTTTGTCGCTCCGTTAACTTGCGTTTCCTTCACAAATGTCTTCTCCACCGCACGCATTAACATCTTTTCTTGTCCTAGCGGAATATGGAAAGTTTTGAAGTCCTCTAATGTCAACAAGGACAACGATTCAATGCTGTTGAATCCATTCTTCAGCAATTCGTCAACGGTACTTTCGTCTAGTTTTTTGGCGGTTGCCCACGCTTGCACCTTTTCGATATCTTCCATTGCTGATTGCTAATGACAAAAATGCGTCTTTGTCGATTTTGTTCGAAATTTGATCAATTGAATAGTCTGAATCGTAAATGTCAGTTTACAGCGATAATCAATTCTAATCTGTGCGTGTACTTTTGCATGGTACACAAACGGGCACAACGGCAGAAAAGTTACAAAAAATACACCCACTGCAACATGCGGCACAATCCAATTTTAATGACCACAAAGCCCGATTGACATCGTTCTCGGTTTCAGACAAGTAAGAGTTCAAAGTAGAAATTTCTTCGTCCGACAGTTGGAACCACTCGGGAAATCCCAGTATAGCTTTAAATTGTTCAAAAACTGATGCCATAATAAGCAAGAAACGTGACTTACATATGTATGTTGATAAAGCACTCAATAAATAATCCAAGCGTTTATATAATAAAAAATTAGTTTCTGCATGAAACATTGCTGCGTTCAACCACGCTAAATTTTCTAATTGAAGTGAGCGCACTACAATCACAAACCAATCAGCTAATTAGTCATGTGACTGGTCATCACTGGAAGCCCCCTTCCCATTGGTAATGCCAGTCTCTTGACCAAATAAGGACTGTCGTCCGAGGGCAGACGAGCACAGCGGCAATCCAACACCAGTCTGGCATGTAAAGATAATTATTGATCAATACTCCCCTATGATGCAACGGCAGAGTTAATTTTATTTTGATTAATAATATATTTAAAATAAATACCCCAACATTTAGGAATTTGGGGCCAAAAAGGGGCCAAAAAACAAGCATTTTTCTAGTTTCCAGACAATAACTTGTGTTCAAGTGTATGGATCTCTCTGAAATTGTACTGCAAGGTACCATACCACAAAGGGAAAACTGGGATTGAGTTTGGGGGTGATGAATCATAAGGGGGTTCAAAAAATTGGGGGGGGATTTTTTTTTCCTTTTTTTTTCTTTAAAATTTTCCATTTTAAATTGGTTATTTCTGATTTATATATAAAAGCAAATAATAATGATATGGTTTGAATAGGTAAATTAAAATTTTTTAAGTTCTTAGACCACTTTCATTCTGTGTGAGAAACCTATGCTGTGTCAAATATTAAATTACAATCCAAATTCAGTGCTGTATCAAGCTTGAATGTTGTGTCCATACTTGCCCCAACTGTTCAGGGTTCGACCTCTGCGGTCGTATCAAGCTGCGCCCCAGCGGAGCATTTTATTCTACTTTAAAACAATTGAAAAATAAAAATTTTGAAAATTTATTTTTTCATCTATAAGTATTGACTGGGAGGTTTGAGATCTCAAAAAAACATGTTTGACCCCGCCGCATTTTTGCGCCTGTCCCAAGTCAGGAGCCTCTGGCCTTTGTTAGTCTTGTATCATTTTTAAAGGCAGTGCTTTAATGCCTTTCTAGTTGCCGTGTTAATCTTTCTTTCCGCGATATCCAACTCATCTACGTGGGGGGTCATTAGGCTCCAAGTAGATCCGGAAAATGTTGATTCTCTCCTCTTCTTATTGTGATATAAAATGTTTTTTGTTTCATTTCATTTACATTGGGAAATAGAGAAACGATCATCGTGTTTTGTTAGTTTTAAAAACTTTTGATATATTTGTATTTTACATTATAAGCAGTCAACCGATTGACAAACTAGAATTATTTGAATTCCGTGTGGAAAGAGGTCGGGTTAATTTCGAGTGTTATCTGCAATCTAGATGTTTATAAATCATTTCAGTCGTTGATATAATAATTAAAGGTCGACTGAACATGAATTATATTATACAATTTAAAGCGCATTTCTGTTTATGCACGCGAACCCGTCTAACGTTATTGTTATTTCGCAGTTATATAAAGTAGCAAATTATCGTTCCTGAATAGGTGGCGCCGTGGTAGCCTATCCTGTTCTTCAACTTCCGGTTTCTGCACTGTGCAACTATTACAGTTGCATTTTTAATTAACGATGCCAAGTACTTGTTGTTGTGTACCTGGATGTCATTTAAGAGGAGGACATGCATTTCCAAATGACTCAAAAAGAAGGAAAAGTTGGATCAACGCCATGGCCCATACGCAGATTGGACGAGAACACGATGAAATCGTTGAGTCCATCTCAATCAGCTGTTGTTTGCAAGGCACATTTTACTGAAAAAGACTACGTGCAGGAAACTATTCATGGTAAAACTCTATTTTCTTTTTAAGATATATAGTTATATATGTAATCGCCATGCGAATAAACCAAAGTCTGTTTACAACCGCAATTATCGTTTTAGAATAAAAGGGGGTGGTTAATTCAAGACGTCATAATTTTTTGGATTACGATTCAATGTGATCTGTTTGAGATTTTTTGGTGCTTGCTACAATTATAATGATTTCTTACAAGAGGTATATCATACTGAGAATTATTTTAGCAGTAATTATGCTAATGTAGGGATGACAGGAATGCATAAGCTATGCCTCATAGACTTTCTTGAAAAATATCAATGACAATGTTAACAGGAACAAAACAATGACATGCTCTCATCTATATTATAGCTATTTAGGTACAAACAATGTATGTTTGTTGCATATGTCTCTCATTGTTTGTCCTTTGGATTTACATAACATACATTTTGATGTACATTGAATCAGGCTAACATAGTTTTATCCAGATTGTTATGAATAAATCTAGTTAATATTTTGCCAGGTAGTACAAAGTATGCATTGCTAATGGAAGTTCATTTAATTATCAAAAAACTAATGTTTTATAACCTTTTTCAGGGCGCAAACCCACCATACAGAGACTTAAGTCTACTGCCATTCCTAGCCTATTTTCCTGGACCAAGCAAGAGACTGAATCGTTCGCAAAAAGAAAAATCAGGGCAGTTTCCTGTGAAAACAAAAGAACTAAACTTGATGAATAATGTAGTAGAAATCTAGAGGAAAGTTTTGATTGTAAAGTTGGTTTTCCTGAAGAAGTCATTCATACTGCAGACAGGATTTATGACTGTCCACCACCAACTGCCGAGCTAATGTTGAGCTTCACAGATGGAATTACGCAAACACCATCAATGCCTATATTTTCAGCAGAGAATTTTGAAATGAAGACACGTGACACAGCCATGCATTTTTATACCGGTTTAGAGTTGTATACTAAATTTTTATTTGTTTTGACCACACTTGGTCCAGCAGCACATTGTTTGAGATACATATATTTTCAAATTGATAGGGTGTCATTTGAAAATCAGTTTTTTATGACTTTGATGAAATTGAGGCATTATACAACCAACTTTGAACTGTCTAGATTCTAGATTGAAACTAGTGTTAAGAATATTGTGTAAACACGGATTGTTTTTATGTCTAAACAGTGGCGTGAGGCTAACACTTGGCCATTTAGTGGTTTAGTCATGTATTTTTCGCCATCCAACTTCAAATTAAAGTTTCCTACAACTTGGATTATTATCGACAGCACAGAATATCCCATGATAAAACCTAAAGCTCCTAGAGCTCAGGCAACCTTTTCATCATATAAAAACAGAAACACTGAAAATACTTGTATGTTCGACACCTGGTGGTTTAGTCAACTATGTCTCTAATGCATATGTTGGTTGTACCAGTGACTGTGAAATAGTTGAAAGATGTAGAATAGTTCAGTTATGTGATCCAGGTGACAGTGTGATGGCAGACAAAGGTTTAAATGTGCAAGATTTGTTTGCTCACTTTTTTCAAAAAAAGAAACAGAATTAGTTCCAAAACTCTTATACGGGATAAAAAAGTCTCCAATTAACACATGCACATAGAGCTAATTATTGGACTCGGCAAAACATACAAAATTCTAATAAATCCTATGAATGGAACTGAAACAAAACTTTCATCTGATATAACATTTAGTTGTTTTATGTTGTGTAATTTTAGAACTTGTATTGTGCCAAAGGATGCATAAATAAAAGTGACACAATGAAGTTTGTTCTAATATATATGTATAAATATTATTTACAATTACATGCACATGTAAATTGTAATGCATATAAAAATAAAGAGATGTGGTATGATATTCAGTGAGTTTATCTAACCAAAGTGCATAAGAAATGGGTTAAGCAGTTACAGGTGTTACTGTCACCGTACAATCTCCAACAATTAGAAAAACTTGTACCGTGTAAAAAATTTCAGAGATCTTACAACTAAGTTTTGTTGTCTCACCTTGACTTTGGTGAATTGTTTATATCTGTTGATGTAAATATAAAAAAGATGTGGTATGATTGCCAATGAGACAACTCTCCACAAGAGACCAAATGACACAGAAATTAACAGCTATAGGTCACAGTACGGCCTTCAACAATGAGCAAAGCACATACCGCACAATGAGCTATAAAGGCCCCGTAATGACAATGTAAAACAATTCAAACAAGAAAACTAACGGCCTAATTTATGTACAATAAATGAACGAATAACAAATATGCAACACATAAACAAACGACAACTACTGAATTACAGGCTCCTGACTTGGGACAGGCACATACATGTACATACAGAATGTGGCAGGTTAACCATGTTAGCGGGATCCCAACCCACCCCCTAACCTGGGACAGTGGTGTAACAGTATAATATAAGAATGAACTATAAAAATCAGTTGAAAGAGGCTTAACTCATCAGATGGATAAATACAAATACAAGTGGACGTGGCCGGGTAGTTGTACATCCAAACAACAAAAAGACACTAAGTACAGATCTGAGAGTACTCGCATTTACTGACAGCTAGTTCAAAGCCACTAACAACTGATAAAAAAATCTTGCATCTAAGACTAAATTATCAATCCGTAAGCTACCTTTAGAATTTTATAAATTTTAGATTTTACATTTCTGAGTTATGGGGTTTTATTCATTAAAAAAGGGGGGATTTTCCAGTTTTTGGACAACAACTCAAAAATGCTTTAAGCAGTTCGCATGAAACTTTGGTGAATTATTTATAGCTATTGATGTAATCTCCCTATTGATTTTCATAAATTTTAGATATGACATTGAGAAGAAATTGAACTTTATTTGTTTATAGTCTGGCAACAGATTTATTAAGTATTGCGCAACAGCACAGTGTATTGCACAACAGCAAGAAACCTTTAATTGAATATAAATTCAATTCATATAACCGATTTCAAGTTCTTTGACTACATTTATTCAGAAACTATAATATGTCAAATATTTAATTACAATCCAAATTCAGACCTGTATCAAGCTTGAATATTGTGTCCATTTTTGCCCCAACTGTTCAGGGTTGGACCTCTGCGGGTGTATCCAGCTGCGCTCAGCGAATCAGTTTATTTCTTAATTAAGAACTCCTTTTTGTCGAGCCTGCGACTTTTGTCGCAGAAAGCTCGACATAGGGATAGAGATCCGGCGCAACGTTAGGTAACTTCTTAAAAGCTTTATATTTTAGAAGGTGGAAGGTCTGGATGCTTCATACTTTGTATATGGATGCCTCATGTTACGAAGTTTCCGTCAGTCACATGTCCAATGTCCTTGACCTCATTTTCATGGTTCAGTGACTACTTGAAAAAAGATTTTTTGTAATGTTAAATTCTCTCTTATTATAAGTAATAGGATAACTATATTTGGTATGTGCGTACCTTGCAAGGTCCTCATGCCTGTCAGACAGTTTTCACTTGACCTCGACCTCATTTCATGGATCAGTGAAGAAGTTTAAGTTTTGGTGGTCAAGTCCATATCTCAGATACTATAAGCAATAGGTCTGGTCTAGTATATTCGATGTATGGAAGGACTGTCCAACTGGCAGGTGTTATCTGACCTTGACCTCATTTTCATGGTTCAGTGGTTATAGTTAAGTTTTTGTGTTTTGGTCTGTTTTTCTTATACTGTATGCAATAGGTCTACTATATTTGGTGTATGGAATGATTGTAAGGTGTACATGTCTAGCTGGCAGGTGTCATCTGACCTTGACCTCATTTTCATGGTTCAGTGGTCAAAGTTAAGTTTTTGAGTTTTGGTCTTTTTTTCTAATACTATATGCAATAGTTCAACTATATTTGGTGTATGGAAATATTTTATGATCTATTTGTTAGTCACACAGGTTTTTTTTTACCTTGACCTCATTTTCAAGGTTCATTGCTCAGTTTAAAGTTTTTGTGTTTTGGTCTGTTTTTCTTAAACTATAAGCAATAGGTCAACTATATTTGTTGTATGGAAGAATTGTTAGCTGTACATGCCTGCCTAGCATGGTTCATTTGACCTTGACCTAATTTTCTTGGTTCATTGGTCAATGTTTAGTTTACTTGGTTAATGTTAAGTTTATGTGACAGTTGTAATAAAGCTTTATATTTAGAACTATCAACATAATATCAATGATTAGTAAAGAAGGCGAGACATTTCAGCGTGTGCACTCTTGTTTTATTCATAAATTACTTTATACTTGGAAATATAATTTTGCTTGTAGTTATAATTTCTAAAAAAAAGTATTGTCATTGAAAGAGTTGACATGTTGCAATGTACATTTATTCTACATAGTTCTATGGTACCAAATCAAAAGTTTATATAAAAGAAGAAGTCAAAGGTTTCCCATCATAGTTTAGTTACATACATTTTTTTTGTACCTGAGGTCGTTGAATATAGATCATTATATAAATAAGGAGATGTGTTATGATTGCCAATGAAACAACTATCATCCATACATTGTACTAACCAGTAACAAACCACATTTGCAAAGTTGAATAAAATACAGTTGATAACATTTACTTATTACTAAAAAGAAAATGCCAAACTATTTTAAACAGTATTTGACTATAAACATAGATAAAAAAAGGTACAAACTGGACATAATGCACTAGTTCATAAACAAGTGAGAACAATCGCCTTCATATAGTGCTCAGAATATGACATTCATAAAACTTGTTCAATATCATTAGAGAACTCTAAATCTTAAATACTGAAAGCCACCTCTGGTAAGTACAATGTACTATGCAAGATAATGATATAACTGGACTAATAATACACACAACCTGTAATTAACTGCCTTTACAGCGCTTTCGCGCTTTGATTAATTTTAGTTTCCTGTGTATAATTTGGAGTTTAGTATGATGTCCATTATCACTGAACTAGTATACATATTTGTTTAGGGGCCAGCTGAAGGAGGCCTCAGGGTGCTGGAGTTTCTCGTTGCATTGAAGACCTATTGGTGGCCTTCAGCTGTTGTCTGCTCTATGGTCAGGTTGTTGTCTCTTTGACACATTCCCCATTTCCATTCTCAATTTTATCTCCTTTAAATGTTTAACTTTATTTTATTATAATCTAATTTCAATATCATATAATTTTTAATGGTTAAAAGTTGCACAATTGTATGAAAAGAACAAACAAATTAAATTGGCACATTGTATGTCATTGAATGAATATGAATAGGAATTAAGCCAGTGTAACACAAATCTATCAATGACCATGAAGTATGGTATGGTCTTGCCACAATTTTGTCGTGCCTGCGAAATTTAGAGAGACATAGCGATCCTAGATTCTGTTGGCGGCGGTGTCAACATTTAGGTTCAGTCTGTGGTTGAATGTTTTTTTTAGAAAAAAATTGCAGGTTATACACTGTCCACACTCTATAGACAACGAAAACCAAAGGACGATAACTGTTTTATATTGTTTTATATTTTTTTTATTTTGGGCTTTTATAGCCAACTATAAAGTAGGGGGTTTTCCCATTTTCAAAAAGCGGTTTGTCTGCTTATTATTACTTACATCCATGCCATATGAACTTTGGTGGATATTTGTCTCATTGGCAATCATACCTCATCATTAAGAAGATGTCCTGACTATACAAGGTATCAAAGGTCTTATATTAACACTTACAATACAGGCCTCTACATTATCATTTTTTCTAACTTGTCCCTTCGGACAAGTTGCAAGAAAATCAACTTGTCCGAACTTCTAACTCACTTGTCCGAATTCATAAATGAAAATCTTACATATTGATGATTTGCAATAATAACACTTGCGCTTTGATTGTACCTAATAAAGGGAGCATTTTGTTCATTTTATTATTTCAGACTGAAAGATTATTTGCAAGACTGAGTTGTCTGACTCACTGTCACTATCATGTGTCGATCATTAAATCATCATTTCTTCCCAAACCACTAGGTTGTCCTATGGACCTATTTATTCTGTAGTAGTGGTATGGGTTAAACCAAGGATTTAAATACACCTGGCCACCTTGTTAATAATTAAACCTTTTTAATTTATTGATGGTGTCAAAACAAGCTTTTACAATTTATTTTGATTTTTATATACATTGATATATGATCATGAAGCTAGTACATAAAATATTTCACTAAAAAATCTGCCTTTTTAGATTTTATTTAATTTTTACATCTTAAGCATTATTTTAATATATATAGATCTTATCAAATAAAACCTCTTTTAATGTATTGTTATGCATAAAAGCAAAATCAAATGAAACATACTTTAATTTAAAATTTTAAAGTTAAGGTAAAACTCCATATGGAGGTGCTCCTAATTCAAGGAGGCTTATACTAAGAAGAAGCATTAACATTGGTTTCTTTCCCCCTTACTTATATTCCCATGGTCAATGGCTGCCAGCATGTTCAAATACGTTCAATCAGAGACATATAATACAAGTATTATATGTCTCTGGTTCAATCAATGAATATTTATTTCATTTTGTATCAACAATAAAACAATCATTCATATTTTTGGGAATGTATAAGTCTTGAATTTGATCTATTTTACATATGACCTCGGTTGTTCGCTTGTCCCATCGGACAAGTAGTATGGTGAATCTACTTGCCCGACGCCTATGTCCACTTGTCCCGGACAATCGGACAAACGGTAATGTCGAGCCCTGCAATAGCTGTTTTAATCATAACTGTATTATTTGTTGTTTCGTATTCATTTAAAAAGAAATTAGATATAATAAAGTATGATGTCCACCATTTTTTTCGAGCCTTCAACTTTTGTCTAAAAAGCAAGACATAGCGATCCTACATTCCGTCGTCGGCGGCGTCCACAAATATTCACTCTGTGGTTAAAATTTTTAAAATTTTAATAACTTTCTTAAACTATCCTGGATTTCTACCAAACTTGGAAAAGAGCTTGTTTATGATCTTAAGATAGTATCCAGAAGTAAATTTTGTTAAAAAAAATTCCATTTTTTCCGTATTTTACTTATAAATGGACTTAGTTTTTCTGCCAGTTACTACATTCACTCTGTGGTTAAAATTTTAACAACTTTCTTAAACTATCCTGGATTTCTACCAAACTTGGACAGAAGCTTGTTTATGATTAAAAGCTAGTATCTAGAAGAAATTTTGTTACAATTTTGTTCCATTTTTTCCGTGTTTTACTTATAAATGGACTTAGTTTTTCTTTTAGTTAACATTGCATACAGTCTGCAGTTTAAGTTTTTAAAACTTTTATTAGATTCATAAACTATCCTGGATTTTTACCAAACTTGGACAGAAGCTACTTACAGTCAAAAGATAGTATAGAGAGGAATATTTTTATTAATTTTTTTTCTCATTTTTGTTGAGCCTGCGATTAACAGCAAAAGTAGGCGAGACACTGGGTTCCATGGAACCCTTACAAAATTTTTAAAACAACAACCTGTCACGTTTCAAAATTTGAAAACTAAAAAGTATATTGTAGTCCTACATATATATATATATATACATTAAATGTACTTCACACACGTGATTGTTCATGTTATTCCAATTTTACCTACAGATACTCTATGTGTTTACTTAAATATAATTTACAATATAACTAAAGTTTAATGTTATAGCTTTGCTTACCAAATACAACAATGACTGTGTTAATGAAACAAAGTGGTAACACAGGTAACATAGGTCATGATTAAAATAAGAAGACTAAAAATAAAGTAAAAAAAAATAAGAGCTTTAGCAGCTCAGCATTTATGTCTGTAGTCATTGTAAGCTGTACTCAGAATGAAATAACTGAATTTGGATGAGAATTATGTTGTGCCATTCCATGCAATGATTATTTCTTCATTTTAACATTTAGTTTGTTATTTTGCAGGAGGATGTGGAGACCAGACGTGCACTATTGTACGGTGAAGTAGAGGAATTGTTTAAGGACCATGAGGGACGAAATCATCTTGTTCTTGACAAACAAATATTTGTCAATGCAACTGATAAAGATGATCTAGAAATTGAAGCCCTGAAGAAAGCCATCACAGAGCTTACTTTCGACCATCCGTGTTGGGGGGAGAAGATGCCAAATGCCTGGGTCCCCCTTGAACTGGAGATGGCTGAGTTGGTTGCTGCTGGAAAACAAATCCTGTCATTGGAAGAATGTGAAGAATTAAATGCAGTCAGCACGGTGTCAGTTCTGGATTTAGAACAACTTCATGATTTCCTTCATTTCCAGCACTCCCTGGGGAAGATCATCTACTTTGATACCCAGCAGCTCAGAGATTATGTCATAATCAACCCACTACTCATGGTGGAGGTTATGAGGTCCTTTGTGACAGGTATTTATGTTAATACTTATTATGGAGGTTATGAAGTCCATTGAAACAGGTATTTATATCAATACTTATTATGGAGGTTATGAGATCCTTTGTGACATGTATTTATGTCAATACTTATTATGGAGGTTATGAGATCCTTTGTGACAGGTATATATGTCAATACTTATTATGGAGGATATGAGATCCTTTGTGACAGGTATATATGACAATACTTCTTAAGGAGGTTATGAAGTCCTTTGTGACAGGTATTTATGTCAATACTTATTATGGAGGTTATGAGATCCTTTGTGACAGGTTTTTATGTCAATACTTATTATGGAGGTTATGAGATCCTTTGTGACATGTATGTATGCCAATATGTATTATGGAGGTTATGAAATCCTTTGTGACAGATATTTATGTCAATACGTATTATGGAGGTTATGGAGTCCTTTGTGACAGGTATGTATGTCAATACGTATTATGGAGGTTATGAGATCCTTTGTGACAGGTATTTATGTCAATACGTATTATGGAGGTTATGGAGTCCTTTGTGACAGGTATTTATATCAATACTTATTATGGAGGTTATGAGATCCTTTGTGAGAGGTATTTATGTCAATACTTATTATGGAGGTTATGAGGTCCTTTGTGACAGGTATATATGTCAATACTTATTATGGAGGATATGAAATCCTTTGTGACAGATATTTATATCAATACTTATTATGGAGGTTATGAAATCCTTTGTGACAGGTATATATATCAATACTTATTATGGAGGTTATGAAATCCTTTGTGACAGATGTTTATGTCAATACTTATTATGGAGGTTATGAGATCCTTTGTGACAGGTATCTATATCAATACTTATTATGGAGGTTATGAGATCCATTGTGACAGGTATCTATATCAATACTTATTATGGAGGTTATGAGATCCTTTGTGACAGGTATTTATGTCAATACTTATTATGGAGGTTATGAGATCCTTTGTGACAGGTATTTATGTCAGTACTTATTATGGAGGTTATGAGATCCTTTGTGACAGGTATTTATGTCAATACTTATTATGGGGGTTATGAGATCCTTTGTGACATGTACTTAATAATGGAAAAATTATCTAAAAATCCTATTTGGCAAGATGTCATTAATTTTTACCATTGTTGTCATTTGTGACATCATAAATGTAAAAAGAGAGAAGACCAATAAAATTATACTTTGCATAATGTCAGCATATGTGAAATCTTTTAAATGATATATTAAATCATGAAATAGATTTTGTTAAGATAAAATATTTTGATTTAAGCAAAGAGTCCTTAAATTGTCATGTTTGCAAGTCCTTTTCCATTTCTATATTGAAATGACTTAAATGATACTCCGATATATGGTCAAATGAAATTTGAAATTTCCAAAAATTGGATATTTTGATTGCTTTTTTCTCAGAATGACAATTTTTAGCCATTAGCCACATAATCCTGATTGCAATGTTTTTTCAGTCGTAGAATTACAGCTAAGCATGGTTTGACATTAACGGCTGTCTTATTTGCCAGGACAAGTGAAAAACAGGTTATTTGGTAGTTTGTTCTTTTGCTGTCAAATTTAAAGATTAATTTTATAGATATCAATCTGAATTTAGTCCAAACTGAAAATTTTAGCTTTTTTTACCTATTAATTTAATCCTTTAAGTTCACAGCAATACACCAAACTACCAAACAACCTGGCATCCTGTAAGATCAATATATAATTGAGATAGCTGTATAGTTTTATAAAAAAAATTATAATTAAATCCTTATATTTGACTACCAAATAACCTGGAATTTTAGATGTAGATTTTGATGAAAATTCAAGTTGATTTGCAAAAGTTATAGAAATGTTTATAGGTGACTATCTGAATTTACTACGAGCTGAAAATTCCAGCTTTTTTTACCTACAAATTAAATCATAGAATTTGACAGAAATAAACCAAACTACCAAACAACCTGGCATTCTGTAAGATCAATATATAATTGAGATAGCTGTATGGTTTTATGAAAATTATAATTAAGTCCTTATATTTGACTACCAAATAACCTGGAATTTTGTATGGTCAATATATAATTGACATAAGTGGGCTGATTCAGACAAGTCTAGAAATTTAAAGGTCAAGACTGAGACAAGACAGGTCGAGACTGGTCGAGACCATATTCAGACTTTACCAAAATTATCAAATATTTAATTAGACTTATTGAGTCAAGTCGAGACCAAAGTCGAGTACAGTTAAGTACTGTTGAGATTATGTTGAGTCTTTGTCAAGTAAAATCTGTGCTTGACCTTTCTGGTCAAGCACAAAATATGGTCTTTTCAGTCTATTAGCAGTTTGAAGTGATGGTCACATGCAATTGGGCAAGTTGTTCAAAAGTTAATGTCAAACCCTGCTTAGTATTGTATTAATTTCAATCCAAATGACTCACGAACACATTATTTCATTATTTGACAATTTTTCATCAATGCTATCAACAATTTAAAAAGATTTAAACTGTAAAGAAAGATTTTCCCAAGTTGACCATTATATATACAATTATCATACCTGTCAACTTACCCCTATTTTGCGGGTCAAACCCGTTAATTCCCCTCTGACCTTGGATTTTTTTAATACCCTACGTGTGATCAACTAACCCACGAATTCAGAAAATGACCTGTTTTCAACCATATTTCTGACCGTTATTGTATTGGTATTCACCTTTCTCTTTCTCAGGTAAAGTAATCAATGAGTGATGGATTTCTCTTAGAAGAAATTTAAGGATATTAGTGAAAAAACAACACAGAGAACAATAGCTATTGTAATTATTCAATAGGACAATAGAACTGACAAAAGTTTTAATAGATTGACCAATAGGAGATGCATGAATCTGTATGAATGGTTCGCAATAATTAATGATGAATATTTATATAATGAACAAATACAGTAGTGAATAATTGTAGGAAATTATTGGTATATGTTATAGTATATATTATAAAAAAATCAACTGGAAATAGTTTGTACGCGTTATAAATGACCTGCATTTTCAGTTTCAGAGGTTGCCAAACATTTCTATCCTGTTTTTAGCGGAGTACAAAAAAAAATTATATTTCAAGACAGATGTGGTTATTGCTCTTAAACTATAACTCTTACAACTGCTTCAAATGAAATATTTTGGTTAAAAACCATCATTTTTGTCGAGCAGAAAGCTTGACATAGGAATAGTGATCCATTGGCGGCGTTAACTAACTTCTTAAAAGCTTTATATTTTAGAAGGTGGAAGACCTGGATGCTTCATACTTTGCATAAAAGCTTTATATTTTAGAAGGTGGAAGACCTGGATGCTTCATACTTTGCATAAAAGCTTTATATTTTAGAAGGTGGAAGACCTGGATGCTTCATACTTTGCATAAAAGCTTTATATTTTAGAAGGTGGAAGACCTGGATGCTTCATACTTTGCATAAAGATGCCTTATGTTACGAAGTTTCCGTCTGTCACATGTCCATTGTCCTTGACCTCATTTTCATGGTTCAGTGACTACTTGAAAAAGATTTTTTGTAATGTTAATTTCTCTCTTATTATGAATAATAGGATAACTATATTCGTTATGTGCATACTTTGCAAGGTCCTCATGCCCGTCAGACAGTTTTCACTTGACCTCGATCTCATTTCATGGATCAGTGAATAAGGTTAAGTTTTCGTGGTTAAGTCCATATCTCAGGTACTATAAGCAATAGGTCTAGTATATTTGGTGTATGGAAGGATTGTAAGGTGTACATGTCCAACTGGCAGGTGTCATCTGACCGTAACCTCATTTTCATTGTTCAGTGGTCAAAGTTAAGTTTTTGAGTTTTGGTCTATTTTTCTAATACTATGCAATAGGTCAACTATATTTGGTGTATGGAAATATTTTATGATGCACATGTCAGTCTTGCAGGCTTTATTTGACCTTTTCACGGTTCATTGCTCAGTGTTAAGTTTTTGTGTTTTGGTCTGTTTTTCTTAAACTTTAAGCAATAAGTCAACTATATTTTTTGTATAGAAGGATTGTAAGCTGTATATGTCTGTCTGGCAGGTATCATCTGACCTTGACCTCATTTTGTTGGTTCATTGGTCAATGTTAAGTTTTCATGGTTAAGTTTGTTTCTTAGATACTATAAGCAATAGGTCAACTATATTTAATGCATAGGTTGTTTGTAAGGTGTACATGTCTGCCTGGCATGGTTCATCTGACCTTGACCTCATTTTCATGGTTCATTGGTCAATGTTTAGTTTTCTTGGTTAAGTCTGTTTCTTAGAAACTATAAGCAATAGGTCAACTATATTTAGTGTATTGAATGATTGTAAGGTTGATAGTTGTAGTAAAGCTTTATATTTAGGACTATCAACATAATATCAATGGTTAGTAAAGAAGGCGAGACATTTCAGCGTGTGCGCTCTTGTTTTAATTTGAGGTGGATGACATACACATTCTGTGAGCCTGTATTGTGTTGCCGTCATAAATTAAACTCTACGGAAACACATTGTCAATGTAATAGACAAGGCGATATGGTTAAAGACTGTATATCACAAATGAATTTACAATCAATACAATTTGATGCCTAAATAGCACATTCGCAGTATATAAATTAGTTATTTATAGTTCATGTCCTTAAACTTATTTTGTGAACAGGATGCAGGTAGTAGTATTATTTGTAAGTCCAGTAGAATTATGTATCACTTGAAACAATCAGTAATGAAAATGGTACAAAAAGTTCATGTTAATATCCCCAGAAAGTATTTTACCTCTGTCTATTATCTTTTTCAGACAAATTATTTTGGCCAAAGAAAAGAAGAATGCAGGAAATTTTCAGGAGAATGTCAGACAGTGGGATAATATGCAGAGGAGACCTGTACAACATTTGGGAACAAAAGGACTTCCGGGCAATCCTTCCATACAGGGAGTTTATATTCAACATCCTCATTCATTTAGACATTCTTGCAGAGCAACGTAGGTATGATACAGCGACAGGAAGTCGGTTACCAGTAGAGAACTTCTTTGTTCCCTGTATGGTCACAGAAAGAAATACCACCAGCTTCATGGACAAAGAATGTACACCTGGGAGAGCAATATGTTTAGCGTTTGTTTTTAAAGGGACTGTCATACCACCAGCTTTGCCCAATCGTCTGATCAGTGCATGTCTGAGCATGTGGACTTTGAAGCAGTATGAAGGGAGAAAGCTCCTCTTTTCAGGATTTATTGTAGTATCATTTGACAAGGCACATGATATTGTAGTATGCGTTGAAGGCAACAAGATTATTCTATATGTAGTCCATAAAACCTCTGCTGGACTTATAGTACCAGATATAGCCACTGGAGTTAAGGAATGCTTGGTTATTACAATGGAAAGAATTTCAGACTTTTATCAGTCCACGATCCATGAAAAACGCAGCCAACAATTACCTTTCCATATTGAATATTCATGTTCCAAGTTAAAATGCTTCATCAGTGAAGAAGAAGCTTTGCAGACAAATGAATGGGTTTGTGACGAGCATAACCTAACACATAGAGCAGGAAACTACACTGTTTGGAACCAAGATAAGGTATATAATATGATATGGTATAGTCAGAAGGCAAATTACACATCAAAAGATAAAACGAAATAGAACAATGCAGATGCCATATGTTCCAAAATTTCTGTTAGTCATATGTCTATTGTCGAGTTCATTTTCATGGTTCAGCAACTGCTTGATAAAAATGTTTAGCTTTTGTCATATGACATTTTCACTTTAAGTTATTTAAAGGGTAACTATATTTAGTATATGGGATACTTGCAGAGTTCTTATATCCGTCATACAGGCTTCTTTCTACCTCAACCTCATTTAATGGATCAGTGATCAAGGTTAAGTTCTCATGGTGATGTTGGTATCTCAGATACTATAAACAATATATCAACTAAATTTGGTGTATGGATTAAGTGTAAGGTGTAGATGTCTGACTGGCAGTTTTTATTTGACCTTGACCTGATGTTTATGGTTCAATCATTGGTTAATGTTAAGTTATTGTGGTTTGGTCTATTTATCAGATTCAATAAGTGATGGGGCCATTATATTAAATGTATGAAATTATTGTAAGGTATATGTAATTTCTCAATTTTTTAGACTTTTTGACATGTTTAATTTGTATATGTTCTTGAATTCTAATGAAACTTGAAAAGAAACTAATCTGTAAGCTTGCGAAATAGCATATAAAAAAGTTTTTTTTTAAAATTATAAACAAGATGAAGATAAAAGGATTCACTTTGGCTGTCACTCTGGTATCTTTCGCCCCTCTTTTTAGCTCACCATTCCGAAGGAATGTTGAGCTTTAGCCATCACTTGGGGTCCGTCGTCGTCGTCCATCTGGTGTAAACTATTTCAAACATCTTCTCTGAAACCACTGAATCAATTCCAACTAAACTTAAACTGAATGATCCTTAGGGTATCTAGAATAAAGTTTGTTTTTTATTTTCTGTTTTGTCAAAAAAATGGCCGCCATGGCTAAAAATAGAACATAGGGGTAAAATGCAGTTTTTGGCTTATATCTCAAAAACCAAAGCAGTAAGAGCAAATCTGACACGGGATAAAAGTGTTCATAAGGTAAAGTTCTATCAGCCCTGAAAATTTCAGATGAATCTGATAACCCATTGTTGGGTTGCTGCCACTGAATTGGTAATTTTAAGGAAATTTTGCAGTTTTTGGTTATTATCTTGGAAAGTATTAATGATAAAGATAAACTGTAAACAGCTAATATGTTCAGCAAAGTAAGATCTACAAATAAGTTTAAAATGACCAAAATTGTCAATTGACCCCTTAAAGAGTTATTGCCCTTTAAGGACAATTTTACACAATTTGTTTATCATGTTTTCAAACTTTAAAAAAAATCTTCTTCTCTGAAACTACTGAACCAATTCCAACCAAACTTAAGCTGAATGATCCTTAGGGTATCTAGAATAAAGTTAACCCGAATAATTCAGTCCCACCCCGTGATCGACTCTCCCACTTGCGAGGGCCTGAATTCTTTATACAATAAAAACGCGTCACGAATCGAGGATTTTGATTGGTGCCCTCTGGGTGAGAGAGCCAATCAGCTAATAGCTCAATGTTATCGAGATAGGTAAATCCCGAGCTAATTCCGAATGATTATTTGACGATTTTTTATTGACAAGGCCTTCAGGCGTTAATGTAGCCATCGTAGAGCAGTGGAATATAACGACTGAATTATTCGGGTTAGAATAAAGTTTGTGTTTTATTTTCTGTTTCGTCAAAAACATGGCCGCCATGGCTAAAAATAGAACATAGGGATAAAATGCATTTTTTGGCTTATATCTAAAAAACCAAAGAAGTTAGAACAAATCTGAGGAGGTAAAAGTGTTCATTAGGTGAAGTTCTATCAGCCCTGAAATTTTCAGATGAATCTAATAACCCATTGTTGGGTTGCTGCCACTAAATTGATAATTTTAAGGAAATTTTGCAGTTTTTGGTTATTATCTTGAATAGTATTAATGATAAAGATAAACTGTAAATAGCAAATATGTTCAGCAAAGTAAGATCTACAAATAAGTTTAATATGACCAAAATTGTCAATTGACCCCTTAAAGAGTTATTGCCCTTTAAGGACAATTTAACACAATTTGTTTATCATGTTTTGTAACTTTAAAAAATCTTCTCCTCTGAAACCACTGAACCAATTCCAACCAAACTGAAGATGAATGATCCTTAGGGTATCTAGAATAAAGATTGTGTTTTATTTTCTGTTTCATCAAAATAACATGGCCACCATGGCTAAAAATAGAACATAGGATTAAAATGCAGTTTTTGGCTTATATCTAAAAACCAAAGGAGATAGAACAAATATGACATGAGGTAAACATTAGGTGAAGTTCTATCCGCCTTGAAATTTTCAGATGAATCTAATAACCCATTGTTGGGTTGCTGCCACTCAATTGGTAATTTTAAGGAAATTTTGCAGTTTTTGGTTATTATCTTGAATAGTATTAATGATAAATATAAACTGTAAACAGCAAATATGTTCAGCAAAGTAAGATCTACAATAAGTTTATATGACCAAAATTGACAATTGACCCCTTAAGGACTATTGCCCTTTGAGGACAATTTTACACAATTTGTTTATCATGTTTTCTAACTTAAAAAAATCTTCTCCTTTGAAACTGCTGAATCAATTTCAGCCAAACTTGAGCTGAATGAGTTTCAGAGTATCTAGTCTAAATTTTGTATTTTATTTTCTTGTACGTCAAGAAACATAGCCACTACGGGTAAAATGTATTTCTTTGCTTTTGGGGAAAATATGACAGATACAAAGAACATCTCAATGGAATTTTTAAGCCACTCATTAATATATACTAAAAAGCAGAAATAATCGTTGATGAAAGATTTAAGCAAAAAATTACAGGTGAGCGATTCAGGCTCTTGAGATCCTCTTGTTTTACATAGATATAGGAAGATGTGGTATCAGTGCCAATGAGACAACTCTCCATCCAAGTTACAATTTATAAAAGTAAACCATTATAGGTCAAGGTACGGCCTTCAACACGGAGCATTGGCTCACACCGAACAGCAAGCTATAAAGAGCCCAAAAAAATTACTAGTGTAAAACCATTCAAACGGAAAAAACAACGGTCTAATATATATAAAAACAAGAAACGAGAAACACGTATGAACTACATAAACAGACGACAACTACTGGACTTAGCAAGTCAACATTACACTTAACACTAAAAGCAGCCAAGACATAAAAAAAAAAAAATTGTGGAAAGACCTTCAATTGCTCTGTAAACTAATGTTTTTTTAATTTGTATATATTTTATTTCTACAGAAGAAGGAACAATGTGAGGAGAATTGTCCAGGTAAGTTTTCTATGGGTTTTAAACTATCATAGGCTAAAGTGTATGTTTTTGTAAAATTTGTAAATATTTTATTCTCTGTTGAAACGTTTGTCTAAGAGAAAGTGTACCATCATCCGACTTTTTGAAGTATTGAGACTTTTATTCATAAAAATAGTGGAGATTTTCCAGTTTTTTGGCAATAACTCAATAACACTGAGCAGATTCGTGAAACTTTGGGGACTTGTTTATATCTATTAAAATAAGCTCTCTTGTTTTTTTTTATAAATTTCTGAAATGATATTGCAGAGTTATGGAACTTTATTCTTTAAAGAGTCGTCAAAAACTGTCCATTTTTCACACTTTGGACAGTTCTAGAATTTTATTCGTTCAAAAATCATGGCCACAAATTATTCATATATCATGTATAATTTTTGTCAATAGGTACCACTTTGTGTGCATGTCTTTTTTTTTTTTTGGCGGGGGGTCAATTTGAGCAGTGCTCACAATATTTCTAGTTGATCATATACATATAGATTCATTTAAAGCATAAAGACAAGCTAAAAGAGAGACGGGCATAGCATGTGCTCATTGCACAGCTTTTTTTGGGGTCTGTTAGACACTTAATTTATGTCTTCTAATACTTTGAATTACAAGTGGGGGTATGCTAAGCACAACAATTATGTATACAATCTTATTGTGAATTGCATGTAATTATGCAACCAAGGACTACCAATCCAATATTTCTGTATAAATGTTACTGCATATTTTTTTTTCAAATTATCTCAAGTTGACTTCTTTTAAAATATCAGTTTTTTACTTTTTACCTTCTCCTTAGCAATGTTTAAGGTAAGATGGTACAAGATTGTTTTTCAGAAGTAATGTAGAACCGCACAGGTAAGATGGGGACAGGGAACCCTTATACGATTTTCCTTATACAATTTTTGTGTTGCCTTGACAGAGTCAAAAAGCGAGACACAGGTACTGTACATTCAGAAATTATTGCGATGTTTTAAATATGGCGAAAAATGCGACAGGATTATAGTCGCAATAATTTAAACTCGCATTTTGAAATTTTTTATATGAATTAAACAGGATTTGTCTCAATATCGCAAATATTAAAATCGTATTTAAGTCTTAAATGACAAAATCGCAATAATAAATGCATGCAATAATTTCTGAATTTACAGTATGCTGTTTCCGGCGGCGGCGGCGGCAACAATGTATTAGTTTGTGATTAGGTCTAGTTTATGGTGAACCACAAGTGGTAGGTCAATGATATTTGTTATGGAGTTGTATAAGCATTGGCATATCTCATTTCCATGGAGATTATTTGGCTCCACCCCCTTAGTCATGGTCTATTGACTTTGAAAATTTTGCTTAGTTTACATGTATTAGTTTGTGATTAGGTCAGTTCAAGGGGAACCATTAGTGGTAGGCCAATGTTAATTGGTATTCAGTTGTATAAGCATTAGCACATCTCATTTCCATGGAGAATATTTGGCCCCTTCCCCTCAGTCATGGTCTATTGACTTTGAAACTTTTGCTTAGTTTACATGTATTAGTTTGTGATTAGATCAGTTTAAGATGAACTGCTAATGTTAAGTCAGTGATATTTTATATGCAAATTTATTGGCATTTGCAAGTATCGTTTCCATGGAGATTATATAGCCCACCCCCTCATCATGGTTCATTGACTTTGAAACTTTTACATAGTTTACAAGTAAATGTTTGTGTTTAGGTTTGTTTAAAGGGAACAACTTATTATAAGTCAATGGTATTTGATATGCAGTTGTGTTAGCATTGGCACATCTCATTTTCAAGGAGATTTTTTAGCCATGTACCTTCAGTCATGGTTCATCGACTTTGAATATTTGCATAACTTATATGTTAAAGTATTGCTATTTTAATTTCAACATTTCCATTATCAAAATTACAAAAAGGCGAGACATATCTCTGTGATAACAGTTTCTGTTTTTTTCTAAGCATTTATTTATATGATTCCCACGTGTGGTGGTCTATGTAGACTTGCATCTTTTTGTTCTTTATTTCTCAAAACAAAAAAAGAATGAACGTTATGAAATTTAAAAAAAACAAAGCTGTCTTGGTTTTATCTTTTTTGATATCTTAAAGGCGAGATATCTCAGCATGTGCAATCTTGTTGAAATAATGAACAAATATAATATTGAAAATAGACAAGAAGCTGATATCTTATATGTAACTTTATGAATAAATGTTTTCGCAAGTCAATCAATTCCATCATGTTTTCTTTTTGATTAAACCTGTATGCAATAACTCATTTTCATCTAGGTCATAAGTCATAAGACCTGAAATTTTGTAGCTAGACAAATAATGCCACTAAATTAAATACACAAAACATTTGATAAACAAAACTTATTCTAATGCAACATCGTTTGTAACATTGATTTTGATTGGATAACGTCACCAATTTTCATGGCATCAATTCACAATTGATGCTATGAAAACATACACGCAAGCGCAGATGACGCATGACAGATTTCAAATGTATGTTTTAAAGTTGTTTTCTGTCAGCTTCATTAGAATTATGGAGATAACAATATTGTGTTTTAAGCTCCGACGGCATCAATTGGTGATTTGATGGTCGCAAATACCTGTTTACTGGCTTAGCTAACGTGTCACCAGTAAACTTAATTTGCAACCACCAAATCACCAATTGATGCCATTGGAGCTTAAAATACAATACAGTTATCTCCTAATTTTATATACTTTCAATTCTTTTATAGGACTAACTAAAACAATGTATTAAATGTTTTATGTCTGGCAATGTTTTTTCCAAACTTAACACAATCAGTCCAAATTTGGGAATCTTGGAAAAGTTCTTTTTGGATTCGGCTTCCTGTAATGAAAATAAAATAAACATGATAACAATTTTCATTTTCAGGTCTTAGTGATGATGCTTTGAACAACAGACCAAGTGATATTGAATTGTTGCGTTTTTCAAACAACTGTTCTCCAAGCCAAATGGATGAATTAGTAGTACATCTAGATATGTTTGAGAAATCAGAAAAGATAAAAAAAAATTATCCAACAGATACAGAGGTTGCAAGTTTTTTGGTATTAGCAAAATGGAAAGAGATAAAACATGAGTGCAATTTCAAAGCCTTGGCAGAAGCTCTGAGCAAAATGGATATATCAACACATGCTTTGTGCCAAGTAAGATTGTCAAACATTTTATAAAGATAAAAAAATTAGCTTTACTTTTAGAAAATGTTTTAGGTTACAAAATCCTTTTGATATCCCCACGCCGTAGGCATTTAGTGCCACCCTTGACTTTCCATATGTCCATACTTCCATCTGTTCTTCTTAAATTTAATGAAACTCGTTCACAGTGCTAAGAACCAAAATTCGCAGACAGAGTTTGAATTTGCATGGGCACTTACCGTACGAAATTTATGCACCCTTATATCTTGGAAAATTGCAATTTTTTGGTTTCACACTCTAACTTAAGTTTTACTCATACAAATTTTGTTTTGAAACTCATACACAATGCTAAGAACAACAACTTTTAGACAGAGTTAAAATTTGGGCATTGTGTAACTTACCGTTCTAAAGTTATGTCCATTTATAAATTAGAAAATTGCAAAATATTTTGTTTCCGCACTCTAACTTAAGTTTTTCTCATCCAGATTTTATGAAACTCATACACAATGCTAAGAACCAAAACTAGCAGACATAGTTGGAATTTGGGTTGTGTGTCATATAATTTACCGTTCTAGAGTTATGCCTCTTTTTAACTTTTGAAATTGTAAAGCTTGAGCCGGGGCATTAGTGTCCTCCTACACATTCTTCTTTTATTAAGTCTCCCAAACAAAGTTTGGGAAGACTTATTGGTTTTGCTCAGTTCTTATTATTATTATTATTATTATGTCACCCGATCGACAATGTCGGGTGACATTACTTTTCCTCTGTTTCTTTGTTATTATTATTATTCTTTCAATGATTTTTGTCCGGCAGTTTTTTTGGAGCCAATGGATCCAATCTTAATGATTGTCTACTATAATGAGGAACACAAAATTTCGAGTTGCAGTAGGTCTTAAGAACATAAAAAATGGCTGCCGTTACCATGGAAACAGAACAAATGTGAAAAAATCTAGTTTTTGGTTTTGGTGAACTATTTGGATATGCTTAAACTTAGAATCATTATATTTTAATACAATGTAGGTGCCCACTATATACTGGTGTTGGATGATTTTGGCAATCATTGGAACTACAATGTTGCCATGGAAACTACACCAAAAATTTCAAAAATATCAAATTGGTCCAAACTTAATGAAACTTCACAGTAACGATGAGCAACATTGGAAGATGTGGCATTTGGAGTTAGAATTTCCAAAATGGCTGCTGTTACCATGGAAACAATGCAAAAAGGTCAAAATGCTCCAAAAACTTCAGGGTTTGGTGAATAATTTTGGTATGCTTTAACTTAAAATCATCAAATTTTTATACAATATAGTTGTCCATTATATACAGGTTTTGAATGATTTTGACAATCATTGGAACTACTATGTTACCATGGATACAGGAGCAAAAATTTCAGAATGCTTCAAACTTAATGAAACTTCACAGTAATGTTGATTGTCATGTATGGAAGCGGCAATTGGTGTTGGAATTTCCAAAATGGCTGCCGTTACCATGGAAACGAGGCAAAAAAGGAAAAATTATGCGTAAAATTTGTAAATCCGCTAAATGTTCTAATAAAATTACGGAAAGATGTATAGCCATCAGTATATGTGCATTAACTGTTTAAAATTTTAAAACTGGCTGCAATCTAGTAGCAATGGGGGAAGGGTGACATCAGCTATTGCTTGCAATGGCAAATCTAGTTATTCTTCTTCTTCTTCTTCCTCCTCTTCCCCTGCTTTTAAATTTGAACTTGTCAGCACCTGTTCTCCAAAACCACTTGTCAGATTAACTTAAGAGTTTCACAATATGTTAGACTAACATGTCTAGTGGTGCAATCAGGGTTTTGTTTGTGCAATGGGGTTTATAAAGGGGTACTTTGAGGGGCAAAAAGAAAGGAGTGTTTTACTATAGAACCCTATGGGATTTTATTTTTTAAAATTTTCAAATGATTATAAATTGAAAACCGTTTGTGATAGACACAATCTTTTTACTGGAAAATGTTCTAAATGATAAAGCACATTAAATGAAATACAGGGTTAGTCCCCAGGGGTCACCCCCACCCCCTGCCATTTAAGAAAGTTCTAATATCTTGTAAGTGGTCAAGATCCCCACCCCTAAACCATATATATTCTGTTTTGTCATGCTAAGATGGTTTGAATGATATACAGGGTTAGTCCCCAGGGGTCATCCCGACCCCCTGCCATTTGAGAAAGGTCTAATATCTTGTAAGTGGTCAAGATCCCCACCCCTAAACCATATATATTCTTGTTTGTCATGTTAAAGCACATCAAATGAAATACAGGGTTAGTCCCCAGGCGTCACCCCCACCCCCTGCCATTTAAGAAAGTTCTAATATCTTGTAAGTGGTCGAGATCCCCACCCCTAAACCATATATATATTCTGGTTTGTCATGCAAAGATGGTTTGAATGATATACAGGGTTAGTCCCCAGGGGTCATCCCGACCCCCTGCGATGACCCCTGCCATTTGAGAAAGTTCTAATATCTTGTAAATGGTCGAGATCCCCACCCCTAAACCATATATATTCTGGTTTGTCATGATAAAGCACATCAAATGAAATACAGGGTTAGTCCCCAGGGGTCACCCCCACCCCCTGCAATTTAAGAAAGTTCTAATATCTTGTAAGTGGTCAAGATCCCCATCCCCAAACCATATATATTATGGTTTGTCATGCGAAGATGGTTTGAATGATATACAGGGTTAGTCCCCAGGGGTCATCCCGACCCCCTGCCTTTTGAGAATGTTCTAATATCTTGTAAGTGGTCAAGATCCCCACCCCTAAACCATATATATTCTGGTTTGTCATGCAAAGATGGTTTGAAAGATATACAGGGTTAGTCCCCAGGGGTCGTCCCGACCCCTGCCATTTGAGAAAGTTCAATTATCTTGTAAATGGTGGAGATCCCCACCCCTATACCATATATATTCCTGTTCGTCATGTCTCGAACATTTGAATGACGTATAGGGTCAGTCCCCAGGGGTTCCCCCCACCCCCAATGTTCTAGTATCTTGTAAATGGTTGAGATCCCCACCCCTAAACCATATATATTCTGGTTTGTCATGCCAAGATGATTTGAATGATATACAGGGTTAGTCCCCAGGCATCCTTAATGCATATAACTTTACTGGACCAAACCAATTTTCACTGGACTTTGCCCAATGTCAGGCGACCCTGGGAATTACGAATTATGGGAGCTTCGTTTGGGAGACTTCGTAACAGCATCCTGTTACAATCATTTCTTGTTTAGTTGTGTAATCATGGTTATGGAAACATTACTTGACTTGTTTAATAATCCGAAAATCAAAAAAAACATTTCCTAACTTAGAACGAATTGACTTTAATACTATATAGATGTTTGTCAGTTTTGTAAAAGTTTGTCTTAAGATTTCCTTGTTTTTTTTTGTCTCACTTGATACAAATGTCACAGAATGAAAGGCATAGTGATGCCTATCCAGTGAAGTCAGCATCAGCTCTGTCAATGAAGCAGTATGTATAAGAAGGTTTAAGTAGATATAAGAAGATGTGGTATGGGACAACTCTCCTTCCAAGTCACAATTTGTAAAAGAAAAACCATTATAGGTCAAAGTATGGCCTTCAACAGGGAGCCTTGGTTCACACCGAACAGTAAGCTATAAAGGGCCCCAAAAATGACTAGTGTAAAACAATTCAAACTGGAAAACCAACGGTCTAATCTATATGAAAAACGAGAAAAGAGAAACACTTATGAACCACATCAACAAACAACAACTACTGAAGGCCTGGATACTTCATATCCTGTATACACATGCCTTATGTTCTGAAGTTTCTGTCTGGCATATGTCTTCTTGTCCTTTACCTTATTTTCATTTTAAAAACTCCATATTTTTCAAGTAACTTTTTTACTCTCATCTAAGACTGCACATATTTGGTATATTGAAGTCTGCTAGTCCGTCCATTTGTGCATTTGTATGTTGAAACTTAGTAAAATAGCTCAAATTTGCTTTAACTTATTCTGATGAAATTTTAGTACAACATTTAATTTGACGTAAGAAAGCTCCTTTTGATTTTGACGATTTCATGATTTTATTTTCCAACAGTAAATCTGACCTTCGTCTTATTTTTATGGTACTATAACCAGTATATTCTAGATGCCAGCATGTTAAAATGTGGAATTCTAATGATTCTAATATTTCAGTATAAGTTAAAGTTATTTAGCATCTAAAATATACTGGTTATACCCTTTTCCTCGTCGCCAAGATTGCTCCTGCAATCTTCAGTTAAAATACAAAATGTATTATGAAAAAAAAATCCAAAATATTATACACATATCATGAGGCAACAATTAAAATACTGATTTCTGTCAATAAAACATTACAATCTATTGTGAAAACAATTGAATAACTGATTCCTGTAAATAAAACATTACTATATATACATTTTCTTTTGGAATGGTCAAGTTTAGATTGTCCATATCAGAAAGTTCTCTGAAGTTCACTGATCATGATATTGACAAGTTCAACTTTCATATAATCAATGAGCTCATTGACATACTTTATGAAGTATTTCTTGGTGCATAAAGGGGTATAAAAATAGCAATATATAACTGAAATATTAGAATAATATATTATCCCTATTGGTCATCAGCTGCAATTTAAAAACATTGGTTATCAAATCATACATTATTCATAAAAATAAAATTACTTTATACCTAATACATTGGTATATAACTAGGGCCTCGCCGAAAGGCGGACACCCTATAGTGATCAGTCTGTCCGTCCGTCTGTCCTTAACAAATTGTGTCCGCTCTATATCTAGAGAACCGTTATGATTTCAACGTTTATACTTGACATGTATATTAACCAACACCAGAGGGTGTGTCATAATGTATGTACAACTTCATATGTCAAAGGTCAAGGTCAAAAACTCTCTGTTTTAGTTGACAACCCCATGTCCTATGGTAAAGATCGTGTCCGCTCTATATCTTGAGAACCGTTATGATTTCAAAGTTTATACTTGACATGTATATTAACCACCACCAGAGGGTGTGTCATAATGTATGTACAACTTCCTATGTCAAAGGTCAAGGTCAAAAACTTTGGTTTTAGTTGACAACCCCATGTCCTATGGTAAAGATCTTGAAAACCACTTTAGAAAAAGAAAATCTGACTGAACAAAAAATTAAGAATATTTAATTTCTACTTTTTAGTTCACCTGGCCCAAAGGGCCAAGTGAGCTTTTCTCATCACTTGTCGTCCAGCGTCGTCCGTCGTCGGCGTTAACTTTTTACATTTTGAACTTCTTCTAGAGAACCACTGAATGGAATGAAACCAAACATGGCATGAATGTTCCTTATGAGGTGCTGACCAAGTGCTGTTACTTTGTAGCGGATCCATCATCCAAGATGGCCGCCAGCGGGGGACTTAGTTTAACATGGGACCCTATGGAAAATACATACAAATGTCTTCTTTTAGAAAACCACTGAATGGAATGAAACCAAACATGGCATGAATGTTTCTTATGAGGTGCTGACCGAGTGTTGTTACTTTGAAGCCGATCCATAATCCAAGATGGCCGCAAGCTGGGGACTTAGTTTAACATAGGACCCTATGGGAAATACATACAAATGTCTTCTTTTAGAGAACCACTGAATGGAATGAAACCAAACATGGCATGAATGTTCCTTATGAGGTGCTGACCAAGTGTTGTTACTTTGAAGCCGATCCATAATCCAAGATGGCCGCCAGCGGGGGACTTAGTTTAACATGGGACCCTATGGGAAATACATACAAATGTCTTCTTTTAGAGAACCACTGAATGGAATGAAACCAAACATGGCATGAATGTTTCTTATGAGGTGCTGACCGAGTGTTGTTAATTTGAAGCCGATCCATAATCCAAGGTGGCCGCCAGCTGGGGACTTAGTTTAACATAGGACCCTATGGGAAATACATACAAATGTCTTCTTTTAGAGAACCACTGAATGGAATGAAACCAAACATGGTATGAATGTTCCTTATGAGGTGCTGACCAAGTGTTGTTACTTTGAAGCTGATCCCTAATCCAAGATGGCCGCCAGCGGGGGACTTAGTTTAACATGGGACCCTATGGGAAATACATTCAAATGTCTTCTTTTAGAGAACCGCTGAATGGAATGAAACCAAACATGGCATGAATGTTCCTTATGAGGTGCTGACCAAGTGTTGTTACTATGAAGCTGATCCATAATCCAAGATGGCCGCCAGCAGGGGACTTAGTTTAACATTGGACCCTATAGGAAATACATACAAATGTCTTCTTTTAGAGAACCACTGAATGGAATGAAACCAAACATGGCATGAATGTTCCTTATGAGGTGCTGACCGAGTGTTGTTACTTTGAGGCAATCCATAATCCAAGATGGCCGCCTGCAGGGGACTTAGTTTAACATGGGACCCTATGGGAAATACATACAAATGTCTTCTTTTAGAGAACCACTGAATGGAATGAAACCAAACATGGCATGAATGTTCCTTATGAGGTGCTGACCAAGTGTTGTTACTATGAAGCTGATCCATAATCCAAGATGGCCGCCAGCAGGGGACTTAGTTTAACATTGGACCCTATAGGAAATACATACAAATGTCTTCTTTTAGAGAACCACTGAATGGAATGAAACCAAACATGGCATGAATGTTCCTTATGAGGTGCTGACCGAGTGTTGTTACTTTGAGGCGATCCATAATCCAAGATGGCCGCCTGCAGGGGACTTAGTTTAACATGGGACCCTATGAGAAATACATACAAATGTCTTCTTTTAGAGAACCACTGAATGGAATGAAACCAAACATGGCATGAATGTTCCTTATGAGGTGTTGACCGAGTGTTGTTACTTTGAAGCCGATCCATAATCTAAGATGGCCGCCAGCGGGGGACTTAGTTTAACATGGGACCCTATGGGAAATACATACAAACGTCTTCTTTTAGAGAACCACTGAATGGAATGAAACCAAACATGGCAAGAATGTTCCTTATGAGGTGCTGACCAAGTGTTGTTACTTTGAAGCTGATCCATCATCCAAGATGGCAGCCAGCGGGGGACTTAGTTTAACATAGGACCCTATGGGAAATACATAAAAATGTCTTCTTTTAGAGAACCACTAAATGCAATGAAACCAAACATGGCATGAATGTTCCTTATGAGGTGCTGACCAAGTGTTGTTACTATGAAGCAGATCCATAATCTAAGATGGCCGCCAGCGGAGGACTTAGTTAAACATAGGACCCTATGAGAAATACGTACAAATGTTTTCTTTTAGAGAACCATTGAATGGAATGAAACCAAACATGGCATGCATGTTCCTTTTGAGGTGCTGACCAAGTGTTGTTACTTTGAAGCTGATCCTTCATCCATGATGGCTGCCAGATGGGGGCAATGTTTAACAAAGGACCCTATGGACAATACATACAAATGACTTCTTTTAGAGAACCACATACTGAATGGATTGAAAACAAACATGGCATGAATGTTCCTTATGAGGTGCTGACTTAGTTTTGTTACTTTGAAGCTGATCCTTCATCCATGATGGCCGCCAATGGGGGGACTTCCTTTAACATAAGACCCTATGGGAAATACATACAAATGCTTCTTCTAGAGGTGCACTGAATGGAATGAAACCAAAACATGGCATAAATGTTTCTTATGAGGTGCTGATTAAGTGTTGCTACTTTGTTGCCGATTTACTGTTCAAGATGGCCACCAGGATTTTTTATTAAATTACAGGACCAATATTAAACCAAATTTGGCCTCACTCATTATTAGGGTATCTGTTATGATTTTAATCTATTCTTACATGATTTCCAAAACCAAAGTAGAATCAGGTGAGCGACACAGGCTCTTGAGAGCCTCTAGTTATGTACACCAAAACTGTCAGAAGTCTCTATGTAGGAGTTATTGAATTTGAATTACTAATTCTTTTTATTTTTAAGCGGATTTGCGAAGGAAAAATAGGTTATTGATTTGGGGATGTACGGTGGGCGGTTGAGTGGTCATCCGGACTGGGCTGCCAAACAGTATCATTGCATTTACGGTTCATCCAAAGCTTTTCAAATTTTAATGTTGTTACTGATGACACAATGGAGGTCAAGTTCGATATTGACGATTTTCACTTTCACAGTTCAGGAGTTATGGTTCTTGAAAGACGTAAAATGGTGTATCCAGTTGTGTCCGTGCTTTAACTCATGAACCGTTCAACCAAAGCTTTTCAAATTTTAATATGTAGTTACTGATGTTACAAAATGGAGGTCAAGTGCACTATTGGTGATTTTCACTTTTACTGTTCAGGAGTTATGGTCCTTGGGATTTTGAAAAATGCCAGGACAAAAATCAATGTTAAAAAATCCACTTTGCTGTCACTCTGACAGTCTTTTGTTGCATATTATCTTGAAAACCATAAAAAATAGAGAGAAATGTCGAATGGGCAAGACAAGATCTACATAAACGTCAAGATGATCGAAATTTTCATTTGTCTCCTGATAGAAGACTAGCAAACATATCCAGCAGGAATAGATCTACAAAGACAAACATATCCAGCAGGAATAGATCTACAAATAAGACAATAAGTCCACTTCGTATAAAAGTTATTGCCATTGAATAAGATTTATTTTGTATTTTGGGCAACAACTCTAGTAGATAGCTATAGGGTTAAACTGAAAACAGAAGAAATGATCATCTAAAATTTAAAAAAAAAGAAATCTAAGTGATAAATTATTTAGTCTAGTCTTGCAGAGTGGGCATGGTTGAAAATACACATGGATCCAGGTGAACGACTCAGTCTGTATTTTTTTTGGTGGTTAGTTTTTTTTTTGTTTTTTTTTTTCATTGAGAACTTGACTATACATAACTATCTTTGTAATTAATAAGTAGTGAAATAAACTTCAATGTTAATTTTGTTACTTTCTGAGAGAGTACCCTAGGACAAAGACTTATCTTAACCTTTGTTCTATTGAAGGTTAAGGTTATTTTCATGTCCCTCAATTGATGTGGGAAAAGGGGAATATATGTATTCCACTGTAATTTTTAGTCCCCTACCGACGAAGTGGAAGGGGACTTTAGGTTTGCACTCCGTCCATCCATCAGTCAGGCAAATCAGTTTTCCAAACTTTTTTTCTTCATGCTTGAAGATATTGATTTGATATTTGGTATATAGTTTTATCATGACCAGTTACAGATAAAGTTTGAATTTTGTTTCGGTCTGATGATTTTGTGCAGAGTTATGGTCCTTGGACTTCGACAATTTTTGCAAGTAATCAGTTTTCCCCACTTTTTAGCTCACCTAGTGAGCTTTTCTCATCAATTGGCGTTCGTCATCCATCGTCGTCCGTCGTCGTCATTAACTCTTTACATTTTGAACTTCTTCTAGAGAACTACTGAATGGAATGAAACCAAACATGGCATGAATGTTGCTTATGAGGTGCTGACCAAGTGTTGTTACTTTGTAGTCGATCCATCATCCAAGATGGCCGCCAGCGGGGGACTATTTTAACATAGGACCCTATGGGAAATACATACAAATGTCTTCTTTTAGAGAACCTCTCAATGGAATGAAACAAAACATGGCATGAATGTTCCTTATGAGGTGCTGACCAAGTGTTGTTACTTTGCAGTCAATCCATCATCCAAGATGGCTGCCAGCAGGGGACTAAGTTTAACATAGGACCCTATGGGAAATACATACAAATGTCTTCTTTTAGAGAACCACTGAATGGAATGAAACAAAACATGGCATGAATGTTCCTTATGAAGTGCTGACCAAGTGTTGTTACTTTGCAGTCGGTCCATCATCCAAGCTGGCCGCCAGCAGGGGACTTAGTTTAACATAGGACCCTTTGGACAATACATACAAATGTCTTCTTTTAGAGAATCACTGAATGGAATGAAACCAAACATGGCATGAATATTCCTTATGAGGTGTTGACCAAGTGTTGTTACTTTGCAGTCAATCCATCATCCAAGATGACTGCCAGCGGGGGACTTAGTTTAACATAGGACCCTATGGGAAATACATACAAATGTCTTCATTTGGAGAACCACTGAATGGAATGGAACCAATCATGGCATGAATGTTCCTTATGAGGTGCTGACCAAGTGTTGTTACTTTTCAGTCGATCCATCATAAAAAATGGCCGCCAGCGGGGCTCTAAGTTTAATATAGGACCAATTGGAAATACATACAAATGTCTTCTTTTAGAGAACCTCTGAATGGAATGAAACAAAACATGGCATGAATGTTCCTTATTAGGTGCTGACCAAGTGTTGTTACTATTCAGTCGGTCCATCATCCACGATGGCCGCCAGCGGGGGACTTAGTTTAACATAGGACCCTATTGACAATACATACAAATGTCTTCTTTTAGAGAACCACTGAATGGAATGAAACCAAACATGGCATGAATGTTCCTTATGAGGTGTTGACCAAGTTTTGTTACTTTGCAGTCAATCCATCATCCAAGATGGCTGCCAGCGGGGGACTTAGTTTAACATAGGACCCTAAGGGAAATACATACAAATGTCTTCTTTTGGAGAACCACTGAATGGAATGAAACCAAACATGGCATGAATGTTCCTTATGAGGTGTTGACCAAGTTTTATTACTTTGCAGTTAATCCATTATCCAAGATGGCTGCCAGTGGGGGACTTAGTTTAACATAGGACCCTATGGGAAATACAAACAAATGTCTTCTTTTGGAGAACCACTGAATGGAATGGAACCAATCATGGCATGAATGTTCCTTATGAGGTGTTGACCAAGTGTTGTTTCTTTGCAGCCAATCCATTATCCAAGATGGCCACCAGCGGGGGACTTAGTTTAACATAGGACCTTATGGGAAATACATACAAATGTCTTCTTTTAGAGAACCACTGAATGGAATGAAACCAAACATGGCATGAATGTTCCTTATGAGGTGCTGACCAAGTGTTGTTACTTTGCAGTCGGTCCATCATCCAAGATGGCCACCGGGGGGGGGGTCACTTAGTTTAACATAGGACCCTATGGGAAATACATACAAATGTCTTCTTTTAGAGTACCATTGAATGGAATGAAAACAAACATGGCATGAATGTTCCTTATGAGGTGCTGACCAAGTGTTGCTACTTTGTTGCCGATTTACTGTTTAAGATGGCCATCAGGATATTTTATTAAATAATGGGACCAATATTAAACCAAATTTGTCCTCAATCATTATTTGGGTATCTGTTATGATTTTTATCTATCTTTAAATGATTTCTAAAACCAAAGTAGAGTCAGGTGAGCGACACAGGCTCTTGAGAGCCTCTAGTTTTCTCTTATGCTTGAAGATATTGATTTGATATTTGGTATATAGTTTTAACCATGATAAGTTACAGATCAAGGTTCAATTTTGTTCGGTTCAGATGATTATTTTGCAGAGTTATGGTCCTTGGACTTTGAAAATTCATGCAAATAATCAGTTTTCCACAATTTTTTCCGTCATACTTGAAGATATTGATTTGTTATTTTATATAAAGTTTACATCATGACAAGTTATAGATCAAGTTAGCATTTTGTTTCAGTACAATGAATTTTTAACCGGTAGGGGACTATATATTGCCATGCAATACTCTCAGAATGCTTGTTATAAGTTAAATAGGTATTTCTGAATTTTATGCCGACAGGCAGGACATATCTCTGTGTAAACAGTTTATTATTAATTACTGTAAATTCAGAAATTATTGCGTGCATTCATTATTGCGATTTTGTCTCTTTAGATTTTAATTTTTGCGATATTGAGAAAATCCTGTTAAATTCATATCAAAAATTTCAAAATGCGAGTTTAAATTATTGCGATTATGACCCTACTGCATTTTTCACAATAATAAAAACATCGCAATAATTTCTGAATTTACAGTAAATAGGTGTTTTAGGAAAATGCCTTCTTTATAAACTTAACGTGACCAAAACCTGAGTACATGTTTTGTAGAGCAGGATAACATGACCACTACTTTAACTGTCCTGATGTACTTTTGATCTCACTCGGTATTAATTATTTTTTGCAGGTAAGAAGAGTCAAAATAGCAGAAACAGGTATGTACTGGGTAATTGGGATCTGCTGAATGGTTACCAGGTATGTATTGGGTAATTAGGATCTGTTGAATGGTAAACAGGTAAGCACTGGGTAATTAGGATCTGTTGAATGGTAAACAGGTAAGTACTGGGTATTTGGGTCTGTTGAATGGCAAACAGGTATGTACTGGGTAATTAGCATCTGTTGGATGGTAAACAGGTATGTACTGGGTAATTAGGATCTGTTGAATGGTAAACAGGTATGTACTGGGTAATTAGGGACTGTCGTATGGTAAACAGGTATGTACTGGATGATTAGGATCTGTTCAATTGTAAACATAGCAGACACAGGTATGTACTGGATAATTAGGATCAGGTCAGTGGTAAACAGGTATTTACGGGGTAATCAGGATCTGTTGAATGGTAAACATAGCAGAAACAAGTTTGTACTGGGTAATAAGAATCTGTTGAATGGTAGCCATTGCTGTTGTTTGAAGGTATAAAACAGAAACATTTGGATGTGTCCTAAAGTGATGACAAGGGCTTTTTTTATGCCAAAAAAATCATCAAACTATTTATCTAAATATTGTTTAAATTTTTCCAAGTACAAGTAGTACATAATTATAATTCCTATTGTCTTATTATTTGCGGAGGACAAATGTGCATTAATTTTTGATAAAACATATATTCTAAAATTTTAATACAAATCCTCATGGGTTCATTAATAAGATGATAATACTTGAGATAATCATTTCATGGTTTATATATTTCCATCACCTGGGTTGCGTTCAATATCGTAGCTACTAAGTAGGAATACATAGATTGTGACTACTGAACGTGTAGCTAGCCTAGCTGCTAAATAAATCTAGATAGTCTAAAAAATTCATGCTATCTGGAGAATCGAAAATGGCGTCGAAAAGGTTATTAATCGTGAGGTTATTACTCGAGATGTCACTTTGATAGGCTAGATTCGTAGCATATTGTTCAACATAGTTAGATATCTAAGACATAGCGGCTATACTAGCTGCTACGATATTGATTGCAACCCTGTAGTCTGTTAGATTTTTTAAAAATCCTCTACTCAAAACTATATAACAAATTGAACAGAAGGTTCTCAACTATCATTGTGTGGACCAAGTGAGCTTTTCTCATTACTTGGCGTCTGTCGTCGTCGTCGTTGTTATTTTTTACAAAATTCTTCTCTGAAACTACTGCATGTTCTACCAATAAGTCTACAAGGTCGAAATCGTCAGTCCACTCCTTTTAAGAGTTATGGGGGGGCTAATGGGTTATTTTCGTCCTTCATGATTGTGGTATTTTGCTTTTCGTGATTCGTTTTTGCATTGATTTGTTGTCCATGATTCGTTTTTGCATTGATTTATTGTCCGTGACTCGTGATAAGTGCATTTTTCGTGACTCGTTTTCAATTCAATTTTATATACGTTCTGAGTGATGAATTTGTTAAATCGTCGTTTTTCGTGAACAGTTTAACTTTTGTGGTATTAAGATAGAAACCACCCTTATTTATCTTAAGAGTTGTCTTTTTTAAACTCTATTTATAAAGGACTGGTACTATTGGAAGCAATGTACGGAAACCAGTCTCTAAGGTAGCACTCCACAGTTAGGTGTGTAGTTTCGCATTTTGGCCCCTGTGGATTTTTCAAATATGATAGCTAGTGTAGAATAAAATTCATTTTTGGATAGCTGAAGATTAAAATAGCCTTCATAGTGGGTTTATAGGAACATCAAGATTATGTAATGTATGTAATATGGGCTGTTTTCTGTATGACAGTCCGTATTTTCATATCCATACCAAATATTGGTCCGGCAATTATTGTAATGTTTTTGTCGCACGAACTTTGCAATTAAATTTTACGAAAAAATGAGGCGAAAGACACCCATTTTTAGCTCACCTGGCCCGAAGGGCCAAGTGAGCTTTTCTCATCACTTGGCGTCCGTCGTCCGTCGTCGGCATTAACTTTTTACATTTTGAACTTCTTCTAAAGAACCACTGAATGGAATGAAACCAAACATGGCATGAATGTTCCTTATGAGGTGCTGACCAAGTGTTGTTACTTTGTAGCCGATCCATCATCCAAGATGGCCGCCAGCGGGGGACTTAGTTTAACATAGGACCCTATGGGAAATGCATACAAATGATTTCTTTTAGAGAACCACTGAATGGAATGAAACAAAACATGGCATGAATGTTCCTTATGAGGTGCTTACCAAGTGTTGTTACTTTGTAGCCGATCCATCATCCAAGATGGCCGCCAGCGGGGGACTTAGTTTAACATAGGACCCTATGGGAAATGCATACAAATGACTTCTTTTAGAGAACCACTGAATGGAATGAAACCAAACATGGCATGAATGTTCCTTATGAGGTTTTGACCAAGTGTTGTTACTTTGCAGTTGGTCCATCATCCAAGATGGCCGACAGCAGGGGACTTAGTTTAACATAGGACCTATGGGAAATACATACAAATGTCTTCTTTTAGAGAACCACTGAATGGAATGAAACCAAACATGGCATGAATGTTCCTTATGAGGTGCTGACCAAGTGTTGCTACTTTGTAGCCGATCCATCATCCAAGATGGCCGCCAGCGGGGGACTTAGTTTAACATAGGACCCTATGTGAAATGCATACAAATGACTTCTTTTAGAGAACCACTGAATGGAATGAAACAAAACATGGCATGAATGTTCCTTATGAGGTGCTCACCAAGTGTTGTTACTTTGTAGCCGATCCATCATCCAAGATGGCCGCCAGCGGGGGACTTAGTTTAACATAGGACCCTATGGGAAATGCATACAAATGACTTCTTTTAGAGAACCACTGAATGGAATGAAACCAAACATGGCATGAATGTTCCTTATGAGGTGCTGACCAAGTGTTGTTACTTTGTAGCCGATCCATCATCCAAGATGGCCGCCAGCGGGGGACTTAGTTTAACATAGGACCCTATGGGAAATGCATACAAATGACTCCTTTTAGAGAACCACTGAATGGAATAAAACCAAACATGGCATGAATGTTCCTAATGAGGTGCTGACCATGTGTTGTTACTTTGTAGCCGATCCATCATCCAAGATGGCCGCCATCGGGGAACTTAGTTTAACATAGGACCCTATGGGAAATACATACAAATGTCTTCTTTTAGAGAACCACTGAATGGAATGAAACCAAACATGGCATGAATGTTCCTTATGAGGTGCTGACCAAGTGTTGTTACTCTGTAGCCGATCCATCATCCAAGATGGCCGCCAGCGGGGGACTTAGTTTAACATGGGACCCTATGGGAAACACATAAAAATGTCTTCTTTTAGAGAACCACTGAATGGAATGGAACCAAACATGGCATGAATGTTCCTTATGAGATGCTGACCAAGTGTTGTTACTTTGCAGTCGGTCCATCATCCAAGATGGCCGCCAGCGGGGGACTTAGTTTAACATAGGACCCTATGGGATATACATACAAATGTCTTCATTTAGAGAGCCACTGAATGGAATGAAACCAAACATGGCATGAATGTTCCTTATGAGGTTTTGACCAAGTGTTGTTACTTTGCAGTTGGTCCATCATCCAAGATGGCCGACAGCAGGGGACTTAGTTTAACATAGGACCTATGGGAAATACATACAAATGTCTTCTTTTAGAGAACCACTGAATGGAATGGAACCAAACATGGCATGAATGTTCCTTATGAGATGCTGACCAAGTGTTGTTACTTTGTAGCGGATCCATCATCCAAGATGGCCGCCAGCGGGGGACTTAGTTTTACATAGGACCCTTTGGGAAATACATACAAATGACTTCTTTTAGAGAATCACTGAATGGAATGAAACAAAACATGGCATGAATGTTCCTTATGAGGTTTTGACCAAGTGTTGTCACTTTGCAGTTGGTCCATCATCCAAGATGGCCAACAGCAGGGGACTTAGTTTAACATAGGACCTATGGGAAATACATACAAATGTCTTCTTTTAGAGAACCACTGAATGGAATGAAACCAAACATGGCATGAATGTTCCTTATGAGGTGCTGACCAAGTGTTGTTACTTTGCAGTCGGTCCATTATCCAAGATGGCCGACAGCAGGGGACTTAGTTTAACATAGGACCTATGGGAAATACATACAAATGTCTTCTTTAATAGAACCACTAAATGGAATGAAACCAAACATGGCATGAATCTTCCTTATGAGATGCTGACCAAGTATTGTTACTTTGTAGCGGATCCATCATCCAAGATGGCCGCCAGAGGGGGACTTAGTTTTACATAGGACCCTTTGGGAAATACATAAAAATGTCTTCTTTTAGAGAACCAATAAATGGAATGGAACCAAACATGGCATGAATGTTCCTTATGAGATGTTGACCAAGTGTTGTTACTTTGCAGTCGGTCCATCATCCAAGATGGCCGCCAGCGGGGGGACTTAGTTGAACATAAGACCCTATGGGAAATACATACAAATGTCTTCTTTTAGAGAACCACTGAATGGAATGAAACAAAACATGGCATGAATGTTCCTTATAAGGTGCTGACCAAGTGTTGTAACTTTGCAGTCGGTCCATCATCCAGGATGGCCGACAGCGGGGGACTTAGTTTAACATTGGACCCTATGGGAAATACATACAAATGTCTTCTCTTAGAGAACCAGTGAATGGAATGAAACCAAACATGGCATGAATGTTCCTTATAAGGTGCTGACCAAGTGTTGTTACTTTGCAGCCGATCCATCATCCAAGATGGCTGCCAGTGGGTGACTTAGTTTAACATAGGACCCTACTGGAAATACATACAAAATGTCTTCTTTGAGAGAACCTCTGAATGGAATGGAACCAAACATGGCATGAATGTTCCTTATGAGGTGCTGTCCAAGTGTTGTTTCTTTGCAGACGATCCATCATCCAAGATGGCCGCCAGCGGGGGACTTAGTTTAACATAGGACCCTATGGGAAATACATACAAATGTCTTCTTTTAGAGAACCACTGAATGGAATGAAACCAAACATGGCATGAATGTTCCTAATGAGGTGCTGACCAAGTGTTGTTACTTTGCAGTCGGTTCATTCATCCAAGATGGCCGCCAGCGGGGGACTTAGTTTAACATAGGACCCTATGGGAAATACATACAATTGTCTTCTTTTAGAGAACCACTGAATGGAATGGAACCAAACATGGCATGAATGTTCCTTATGAGTTGCTGACCAAGTGTTGTTACTTTGCAGTCGATCCATCATCCAAGATGGCCGCTAGGGGGGGGGGGGGCTTAGTTTAACATAGGACCCTATGGGAAATACATACAAATGTCTACTTTTAGAGTACCACTGAATGGAATGAAACCAAACATGGCATGAATGTTCCTTATGAAGTGCTGACCAAGTGTTGCTACTTTGTTGCCGATTTACTGTTCAAGATGGCCACCAGGATATTTTATTAAATAACGGGACCAATAATAATCAAAATTTGGCCTCAATCATTATTTGGGTATCTGTTATAATTTTTATCTATCTTTACATGATTTCTAAAACCAAAGTAGAGTCAGGTGAGCGACACAGGCTCTTGAGAGCCTCTAGTTTATTTGATCATTTGGTAGATTTATATCAACAGTTTCTGAAAAGGTATCATTGAAAGGCATTGAAATTCTAGTTTGAACCAAATTTTTGGGAAATATGTGACATATTTACCTCCCTTTTTGCAATATTTTATGGTAAATAAATGCAGAATGTTGCCATGGATACACAAAAAAGGAATTATATTTCACCATTTTAACTTTTGAAAATCAAATCTATGGAAGATACTGATTACATACATATGCACATGTATAACACAGACAGTTAGGTTAATGTATTAGAAAGCCAGGAATAGAAGATGATAAAACATTTTGTGGTTTAATTTTAATGTTTTTTTCTAACTGTGGAGTGCTACCTTATGGCACATCAGAAAGAACAGAAATGCACTTTTTAAGATAAATTTTACCACAAATCTTTAGTCTGTTAGGTTCTTAATGTAGTTCTGAAGGGAAAAAAATTGCTAGGATTGCAATACATGTTAATTTTATTGTTTACTGTCCTTAGCAACCAAATATACACATTTTGACACTAAGACATGTTTCTGTCTTAAATTTGTACTCCATTAGCTTCGCCCTTCTAACCAAATATTGCGCTTTATATGATAGCCTCAGAATGTATCGCTTTATATTTTTTGATGCGAATAAGTCAAATAAACATTTTTAGCAGGATTTTATATAATAATTTGGCATGAATGAAATTTAATGATGCCAGTACTGTTAGATATTTATACCCTGCTTGAGAGTTTCTAAAACAAGGTTTGGTATGCTATTTACAGCAAAATTGACCTATAAATGCTTTCAAATACCTAAAAATTGTACATTTTTTCTTCTTTAAAGGTTATTTTATGATTTCAAACAGAAAAAAGGGAAAAGTTTTAGAAATTTACCCCAAAAATGTGACAGGATTGAGGTTTTACACTTTAATCAAGCATTTTTTTTAAATGACTTTTTGTCGCGTTTTAACATCAAATGCTAACCTTCATAAAATCTTTATTACTGAACCAATTTTAAAAACTAAGGTACCATTTTAATCGTTACAGCTAGTAGAACACAGGAAATGAATTTGAATTTGAGGCAGGGAAAAAAAATTTCATATTAAGGTAGCACTCCACAGTTAGGTGTGTAGTTTCGCATTTTGGCCCCTGTGGATTTTTCAAATATGATAGCTAGTGTAGAATAAAATTCATTTTTGGATAGCTGAAGATTAAAATAGCCTTCATAGTGGATTTATAGGAACATCAAGATTATGTAATGTATGTAATATGGGCTGTTTTCTGTATGACAGTCCGTATTTTCATATCCATACCAAATATTGGTCCGGCAATTATTGTAATGTTTTTTTCCAACTTTTTGTCGCACGAACTTTGCAATTAAATTTTACGAAAAAATGAGGCGAAAGACACCCATTTTTTATTTGATCATTTGGTAGATTTATATCAACAGTTTCTGAAAAGGTATCATTGAAAGGCATTGAAATTCTAGTTTGAACCAAATTTTTGGGAAATATGTGACATATTTACCTCCCTTTTTGCAATATTTTATGGTAAATAAATGCAGAATGTTGCCATGGATACACAAAAAAGGAATTATATTTCACCATTTTAACTTTTGAAAATCAAATCTATGGAAGATACTGATTACATACATATGCACATGTATAACACAGACAGTTAGGTTAATGTATTAGAAAGCCAGGAATAGAAGATGATAAAACATTTTGTGGTTCAATTTTAATGTTTTTTTCTAACTGTGGAGTGCTACCTAAAGTTTAAGTAGCGCGGAGCTGGTTCCTGGCAGTTTGATCAGGTTTCAGAGTTTGATTCTGACTCAGATGCTTACGTTGTGGCAACCAAGGCAACTAACTGAGGCAGTTAAAAATAATTAAAAAAATAAAAACAACTTTTCTTTATATTCTTTTAAACAATTTTCACAAAATGCAAAAGTCACTCCCTACTTAACGCTAATATACAGACTTCTTGTCGTTATTGATGATACCCTTTTTCGAGTTCAAGACTTGTGGAAACATTTATTCCCTCCCCTAATTGGAAATCCCGACCCCTTTACAGTAGTTTTTAGTAATCTGAATATGTCGGAGTCAAAGAAATCGACACAATGAAAGCTGACAAATTTCTATAGTCTATAAGCTACCACAAGCAAAATTATTATTTTTGTGTGAGAAAAATTTCTAGTATTTGAGGGTCTTGGTGAGGTTTACAGAATACACAAAAATGCCCAGAAATTAATTTAAACTTTAAAGAATAGAGATTTAAAATGGTGCTAAAATATAAAAGAAAGGAAAAAAATTATGGATAATAAGAATTAATAATAAATATTTGAAGACCCCCATTCAAACCCTCATATAAAAACCGGTAACGTCTAAAATTGAAACATCGTTGTGTGTTGACATTCACTACGTGTACACAGGTGTTTGTTACTATTTGCCGGGTTTACTATCCAGGGGAATCCCTAAAAAATCGCTAGCTGAGACCCAGAATATTTTTGATTCTTTAAGTCAGCTGTTATGGTTTCTTGGTGGATTCACAGATGTATTATTGACTTGCTGTGTCATTAAAGTATACCCCATATCCATCTCCTTCAATTCATAAAAAATTCAAAACCTGGGAAATTCACTGCAATTATCCGAACATTGAAAATAATGTAGGTACCAGTAATCAACTCATAAATCTGTAGTATAACTTAGTGTAAGACATTATTGACATTATTATGATGAAATAAAAAAAAAAAAAAAACTGCTATCTTAATAGATTCTTTTTGTCCTCTACAGCTAATTATGGGAGCTTCGCCCCTCAGACCATCTGCCTAGGTAATAACAGAAGGCAAGCTACGCGGCCTTAGGGAGGACAATAAAAATGTGTAGCAAATATTGCTAGATTCAACTCCGATATAAATATTGTGTATGCGTTAATATCATAGAAATGTGCCACCAGAAGAATAGCCATATATAATTTTAATACTAAAATTGTATATGTAAGACTCGGATCGACGATCCTCAAATTGACGTCCAATTTCAACGTCAAAGACCTATATCTCAGAACTATGTCCTTTTTCGAAGTTTTCAAAACGGCATCAGATTTTCAAATCTATGGCAGTTTCTCACTGTCTCAAATTGACTAACGTATGTTTACAAGAATCGTTAGAATTCGATAAGTCGGCTACTCAGGCCTTGAAATAACGAATAAACTAAACAGTTGATCTACATAAATTAATAAATGGAAAGCAATAGATAATAAAAATGTCGATGGTTTGTGAAGTTGCTGTACACAGATGCAATAGAATTTGATAAGGACGTCGATTTGATAATAAAGTTTATTCTGACCATGATTTCAGATGTTGACGTCAGTGGACACTGAATTGAAAATAGGACGCCGATTTGAGTCGATACGCTGATCTGAGTCAATCGTATAATCACAACATTAACAGGACATGCTTAACCTTATTTGTTTTCCTAAGTTTCACCCGAAAATTTTGCTAATAATTTATTTAATACTTATGGTTTCATCCAGAGCACCTAAGTGACACCAAACTTTTCGATGGGTCTGTGTAATTCAATTTCTAGTTATATGTGTCATGTTTTTTTCTTGTCTACTTTTAAACATTGCTATTGAAATTCAAAGTATTGTCTTTCCATCAGTTTTTGGTAGGCCTGCTGGTACCTTGAATCTTTTGTTATACCTATATGAATTTCAACGGTTTTAAAAACATTGCACTATGAAATGCTTGTATATTGAACACAAGTTATCACCGTGCATTTGCTTGGTCTTTGGGACTTGTGTTGGTTGTCCATTGCTTTATCGTGAAAAATAATCAAAGATTTTTTAGGTATATGGATGTGGATAGTATAATGCACCTTGATAGTAAATACTGAAATAAAGTCATAGATTGAAATCATTTGTTGAAAGAAAAAAAAATCTCCAATATTGCGAGTCTGTGTAGGTACACAAGTTCAAAGATGCCAAATGTACTCGGAGTACATTCAACTTTTGCAGTTTAAAGGCATACCACACAATTGCAGAATGGCACGTTTTCCCCAATATTTTAACACTTCCATGAGAATGTTCTTTCCCAACTGGCGGCTTCTCAGCCTTTCCAACAAAGACTCGTGTTATAGTAATAATTAACTTTAGTATGGTGATATCCCATGAAACTGATTTTAAATATAGTATACCTACTAAAACTTTCCCAGAAATGAGTGAACAATGTACTTAATGATTATCAAATTAGTTGTGAACTGTGATCAGGAAAATTATTTCCTGTGAACTGTGATCAGCAAATTTAACATTTTGTGAACTGTGATGAGACCCCCCCCCCCCCCCCCCATTACCCCCTCAGTTATTGCCCTCTGATGATGATTTTTTTAATTTTTTTTTTTGCTTTTTTGCTTAAAATGTTAAAAATATAATAGATAGAAGGAAACTTGAATAAGCAAAAATAATCAGCAAGACAAGATATACCATTAAGACAATATGGCAGAAATCGTCCGACGATTCCGTATTGGAGTTATTGCCCTTTAATGACAATTTTTACCCTTTTTTTGCGTTTTTGCAATATACGATAAAAATTAATATAGATAAATAGACACTTCAAATCACAAAAATTATCAGCAAGGCAAGATCTACTAAAAAGTCAAATTTTGCCTATATAGATAGTAGACTGTCACTCTTTAGAAGAGTGATTAACATTAAATGATGTTTTTTAGCTCACCTGACCTGAAAGGTCAAGTGAGCTTTTCTCATCACTTGGCGTCCGTCGTCCGTAAACTTTTACAAAAATCTTCTCCTCTGAAACTACTGGGCCAAATGCACCCAAACTTAAAAACAATCATCATTCAAGTATCTAGTTTAAAAAAAGTGTCCGATGACCCCGCCAACCTACCAAGATGGCTGCCATGGCTAAAAATAGAACATAGGGGTAAAATGTAGATTTTGGCTTATATCTCTGAAACCAAAGCATTTAGAGCAAATCTGACGAGGGGTAAAATTGTTAATCAGGTCAAGATCTATCAGCCCTGAAATTTTCAGATGAATCAGACGACCCGTTGTTGTTATTTTAAGGAAATTTTGCCGTTTTTGGTTATTATCTTGAATATTATTATAGATAGAGATAAACTGTAAACAGCAATAATGTTCAGCAAAGTAAGATCTACAAATAAGTCAACAAGACCAAAATGGTCAGTTGACCTCTTAAGGAGTTATTGCCCTTTATAGTCAATTTTTAACCATTTTTCGTAAATTTTTGTAATCTTTTACAAAAATCTTCTCCTCTGAAACTACTAAGACAAATTTAACCAAACTTGTCCACAATCATCATTAGGGTATCTAGTTTAAAAAATGTGTCCGATGACCACACCCGCGAACCAAGATGGCCGACATGGCTAAAAAATAGTACATAGGGTAAAATGCAGTTTTTGGCTCATATCTCTGAAACCAAAGCATTTAGAGCAAATCTGTGAACGATAAAATTGTTCATTAGGTCAAGATCTATCTGCCCTGAAATTTTCAGACCTATCAGGCAACACGTTGTTGGGTTGCTGCCCCTGAATTGGTAATTTTAAGAAAATTTTACAGCTTTTGGTTATTATCTTGAATATTATTATAGATAGAGATAAACTGTAAACAGCAATAATGTACAGCAAAGTAAGATCTACAAATAAGTCAACATGACCAAAATGGTCAATTGACCCCTTAAGGAGTTATTGCCCTTTATAGTCAATTTTTTACAATTTTCATAAATTTTGTAAATTTTTGTAAATTTTTACAAAATATCTTCCACTGTAACTACTGGGCCAAGTTCATTATAGATAGAGATAATTGTAAGCAGCAAGAATGTTCAGTAAAGTAAGATCTACAAACACATCACCATCACCAAAACACAATTTTGTCATGAATCCATCTGTGTCCTTTGCTTAATATGCACATAGACCAAGGTGAGCGACACAGGCTCTTTAGAGCCTCTAGTTTTTTACCCTCTTTATAGGAGTGATTGCCCTTAAATGATGATTTTTGTTACCCTCTTTTGTGACTATATTGAGGAAATTGTCCGACGACTCCTTATTTGAGTTATTGCTCTTTAAGCCATTTTTTTACCATTTTTATTTACGTTTTGCCTTGTATGATAAAAATTACAATAGAGAAATAGACACTTTAAATCACAAAAATGATCAGCAAGGCAAGATCTACTACATGTACTAACAAGTCAAATTTTGTTGATATAGTTTGTACACTGTTAAAATTAAATTAAAATACTTGTTTAATATCTTGAAAATTGTCAAACATTTTATGTACATAAAATCTGGCAGGGAGCTAAATTCTTACAAAGTCCAGATCTACCTTCTATCTATTTCACAATCAAATTTCTAGATGAATATATTATGATGACCCATTGATCTTTAATAAGGGTTTCATAAGACATAGGTTTGAAGCTTGTGTATTGTCAATGAAATGACTGAAGACTTATTTTACTAGCATTTGATCTGAATGTGCAATTTTAATCCTAATTGGCAATCACTTTTATTTGCATTGATCATATCAAAATGATTTAATTTAAAACCATTTCAGCTTTAATTTGAGCTATTCATCTTGAACATTTTAGTAGACTCTAAAGAAATAAAAACAGCAAGACCTGCGACTATTTTCACGAAAATTCTAATGAAAAAAATTGATCATAAGTTATACTGAATTGTTCATAACTAATGAGCGTTTTCAATTATCATTAATTTAATAAAAGTTTTTTAATGAAAAGAGTCACAGATCTCCTTAGGTTAAATAGGATTGAAATCCAATTGTCGACTCTCAATAGGAGTTATCCCCATTTTCATTTTTGTTGGCTACTATTCTGAAATATAAAAGTATATATATGTGAAACAGTTAACAGTTAGAGTTGAAACTTTGTCATAATCTTTAAGATTTTAATATTAGCAATGCAGTTTTCTCATGGCCTCTATTTTTCAAAATGCATCTGACACACAATATTTCATAACATGCTTTCTATCAATTCATTCTTATTTTCCAGACATTCCTTTAGATTATCTAGATTGTATTCCAACAGATGAGGTTTTGGATGCATTATCATCACGAATTGGTCAGGTATACTTTCAACTTGGTACTGAAGTTGGACTCTCTATTGCAAACTTGGAAAATATTCAGACCAATGTTCCAAGAGACTTAGAAGCTCAGAATCGGGAAGTCTTGTTCAAATGGAGAGAAGACCGAACAGTAACACCTACAATAAGGGTCCTTGTACAGGCACTAGTAAACATTGGGAGGGGAGCATATTGTTTACAGGAAATTCTTGAGAATGTGGATCTTAATACCCTCAGACTCTTTGAAGAAGAAAGAGATAAAGATAAAGGAGCAATTAGCAAGAAACATCAAAGTCGGCAAAATATGTCAAAAACATGTCAAATTTCTTGAAATGAGGCACCAGAACAACTATGTAATGTGAAGGAAAAGTAATGATAGACAATAACTGAGGTGAAAGCTATCAAGTTAAATCAAAACTCATTATTTTGAGATGTATTATTGTAAAGATTTTGAACTTTAAACACACATCTTAATCCTCACCGTGGCAGGAACAATTTCTTTGCAGTGTAGCAATTTTTTGCAGTTCTTTTAGATAAGAAGACTACATACATCTTGTTTTATGTAACATTAACTACTTTTAGTTTCAACTTTGTTTTTCAATCTAATCAGCTGTTTTGGTCGAAAGTTATCGCGGAAATAGAGACATAGGGATTGCTTTTCCAGTGTAATGACAACAGTGTTTACAATTGCTAAGTTTTCTGCTTTAGTTATTTTGAAAGGAACTACTTGTAATAGATCAGTGATATTTTATATGAAGTTGCATTACTATCAAAACGTATCAGATTGATGACTATTTCGAAACCCTGCTCCCTAAGTAATGGTCCAGTGACTTTAAGTTAATAACCAATTTTGAATGTTAAGTTTTCTGCTTAAGTTAGTTTGATAGGAACTATAAACTACTTGTCATAGATCAATGATGTTTTCTATAAAGTTGCATTACTATCAGTACATATCAGTTTGATGACTTTTTCGTCTCCCTGCCTCTGTATATCATGGTCCTGTGACTTTCAATTAATTACCAATTTTCAATGTTAAGTTTTCTGCTTGACAGCTTCAGTCAGTTTGATAGAAACTACTCACAATACACAACAATATATTCGATAAAGTTACATCACTGTCTGTACATCTCAGTTTGTTGACCATTTCCAGGCCCTGCCAACTAGTTCATGGTCCAGCTTCTTTTATTTAATTAACAATGTTGCTGTCCATCAGATTGGTTTTTTTTCTGAATTTTATGCCAACAGGCGAGACATATCTCTGTGTCAACAGTTTCTTTTAAATGTTCAGCTCTGATACACTATAATAAATCAGCAAAAGGAGGACTACTTATCACTTTCAGGTACTCCAATATGACCATTTATTAAGTAAGACAACAAACTACCCAGCAACAGTTGATGTATTTACAGTGTTTACTTTAGACCGTTATACAGAATGTGTAGTTTTACATTACAAAATGACTACCCTTTTAGATATTTTTGTTTTTTTCAAAGATTCAAATTTGAAAGGTTTGTGCTGTATGCTCAGATTCAGATAAAGATAATTGGTTAAGTGTACTTGTTTAAAGGTCTCCCCTCATATAGGACACCATAAAAAATGTAAATTATATATTATCACCATTATAAGAACATATTATTATTCTCAAACAAGTTATTTTTTTCATAGTATAAAAGTGTTATTGTATATTTGTCATGTATAGTATTACACATTTTATAAAGAGTTTTGTAATTATCATGTATAGTATTACAAAAATTTATAAAGAGTTTTGTAATAAAAATTATCAACATGTGAACATTTTTCCTTTACCTAGATATCCTTAATGCACCTTTGTTGCATAACAAAAAACCCACAGCTGCTTGATATGACCCTTTCAAATATACGGCCTGATTGAAGCTTATAACAAAACATAGATATAAGGGAGAGAACTCAATAATAATGTCAAGACTAGATTACACTACATACAGGTTTCTTATGTTTTCTAAATCTCGAATGGCAAATATTTTATGCATATGCAATATGAGAATAAATAAGAAATACATACATAAGATCTGTTCGTATATAAAGGATAGAGAAGATACTAATGGGTCAATAAAACAACCATAAGTGACATGGCTGCCAAGTCTCACACAATTCATGCATATTTGGCGGCATTTTCCTTTGATCTATTGTTTTTTTTCTTTGATCTTTACAATTTTGGCCAAATCTCACGCATTCAAGTTGCTTCATGAAAACTTGGCAGTACTGTAAGTCATAAAAAGACAGTACCATGGCTAAAAAGAAAAATGATAAAAAGACCGTGCAATGGCTAAAAAGAAAAATGATAAAAAGACAGTACCATGGCTAAAAAGAAAAATGATAAAAAGACTGTGCAATGGCTAAAAAGGAAACTGTTAAAAGAGACAACTGTCCACGAAACAATACACAAAAATCGAAGATTGATCCCTGGAAGTATAATCGATTTCATATCACCTATTGTGACTATTGTCACTCATGACAAGTAAGTTAATATGTGTATTCGGTGATGTCGCTGTGACTATAACATGTAAACTGTAGTATGACATGAACACGAAAGCAAGACATGTTGTTACAAAATTACTGAAATCCAAGGTCAATCTAAAAGATGGGGGAGTCCATTAAAACTGAAAACCAAACACTCGACTTTATCAACCAACAGATCAACTAGAACAGTTTCACATTTGTAATATTCCTAAACTAAGTTCAGGCATTTTATGAAGAAAACGGTGCATTAAACCTAGTTTATGAAGGTCAGGTAGGGGGATTTTTCTCTATTCTTTATATTTTAGACCCCCATTAATCTCTATTCTTTATTGTTTTGGCCCATTTTCTTTAACCTTTATGTCCTTTGGCTTTTATTTTTTATCCTGTAAACCACATCCAGACCATCATTTATAGTCCGCACTTTTGTGTTGGTATAGCATATCACTGGTATGCTCTTTTTCTGTAAATTTACTGTTTATGAAATGTTGAATTACTCAAGACTTTTAAGGTTTTTTGTCCCCTGATATATAAATTGCTTTGGCCATATTTGGCATAACTTTTCTGAATTTTCAGTTTCTAATGCTTTTCTACTTGGTATTAAATTTGGCCTTCAAACTGTTTTAATTCGAGGGCCACTGATTAGTCTTGTGTAGTAGAAATGTGCACCTGGTGTATCAAATTTATAAGCCCAGTATATTTGATCAGTTTTCCTTCACAGCTAGCTGAACCTTAACAGGCCTCCAGAAAGAGACATTGCAAGGGTTTTTTTTTCAAAGGCAAAGAGATTGGTGTTCCTACACATCATTGATTGATTGATGATTGCTAATTATAAACTCGCAAAAAAGGCTACATCACGACAAGTTATTATAATGCAGCCTAGGGTCCGAAAGGACATGGCAACTTCATATTTGTCTATCCATAACTGGACAACAAAATGATACTTTTTTTTTTCATCAGCTCTTAAACGTTTGTATAAGGTTTTGGACACTTTTTTTTGTAGTAATGCGCATCTGATAATATCAAATTTGAATAAAACAATATCCAAATTGTCATGCCAGTACCGAGTAAGCTGAGAATGAGTAAAAAAGTGCACAATTTTAAATGACGTAATACAACTTTCAATGGGATTATAAAATCTTTCCATTGAAGAAATTTAAGTTGGGAGTTATTTTACTTGGCTGATATGTTCGAGGAAAATCTGGTTGATTTTTGTTGAGGCTTCGACTTTAGTCGAAAAAGCGAGACATAGCGATCCTACATTCCGTCGGCGTCGTCGTCGTCGTCGTCGTCGGCGGCGGCGGCGTCCACAAATATTCACTCTGTGGTTAAAGTTTTTGAAATTTTAATAACTTTCTTAAACTATCCTGGATTTCTACCAAACTTGGACAGAAGCTTGTTTATGATCATAAGATAGTATCCAAAAGTAAATTTTGTAAAAATAAAATTCCATTTTTTCCGTATTTTACTTATAAATGGACTTAGTTTTTCTGCCGGGAAATATTACATTCACTCTGTGGTTAAAGTTTTTAAAATTTTAATAACTTTCTTAAACTATCCTGGGTTTGTACCAAACTTCAACAGAAGCTTGTTTATGATCATAAGATAGTATCCAGAAGTAAATTTTGTAAAAAAAAAAATCCATTTTCTCCTTATTTTATTTTTAAATGGACTTAGATTTTCTGCCAGGAAACAACACATTCACTCTGTGGTTAAAGTTTTTAAAACTTTAATAACTTTCTTATACTATTTTGGATTTGTACCAAACTTGGACAGAAGCTTGTTTATTATCAAAAGCTAGTATCTAGAAGGAAATTTTGTAAAAAAATAAATCCACTTTTTCTGTATTTTACTTTTAAATGGACTTGGATTTTCTGCCAGGAAACAACACATTCACTCTGTGGTTAAAGTTTTTAAAATTTTAATAACTTTCTTATACTATTTTGGATTTGTACCAAACTTGGACAGAAGCTTGTTTATGATCAAATGCTAGTATCTAGAAGGAAATTTTGTTTTCTTCCAGTTGACATTACATTCAGTCTGCAGTTAAAGTTTTTAAACATTTATTAGATTCATAAACTTTCCTGGATTTTTACCAAACTTGGACAGAAGCTTCTTACAATCAAAAGATAGTATCAAGTGGAATATTTTTATTGATTTACTTCCTCATTTTTGTTGAGCCTGCGATTAACAGCAAAAGTAGGCGAGATGACGAACAGGAATATATATGGTTTAGGGGTGGTGATCTCGACCGTTTACAAGATAAAAGCACATTCTCAAATTGAAGGGGGGTGGGGTAAGAATATAAGTGGGGTGATCCCCAGGGTACTCGCCCTTTATTTCATATGATTTGTTTTTTTGTTCCATACAAGAATATATATGGTTTAGGGGTGGGGATCTCGACCATTTACAAGTTTTCAAAAAGAAGGGGGTAGGGGGTTACCCTAGGAGATTTCCCCTATATTTCATTTGATTTGTTTTATTGTCCCATACAAGAATATATATGGTTTAGGGGTGGGGATCTCGACCGTTTGCAAGTTATCAAAAAGAAAATGGTGGGGGTTATCCCCATGGACTTCCCCTATATTTCATTTGATTTGTTTTATTGTCCCATACAAGAATATATATGGTTTAGGGGTGGGGATCTCGACCGTTTGCAAGATAATAGCACATTCTCAAATTGAAGGGGGTGGGGTGACCCCAGGCACTCACCCTATATTTCATCTGATTTGTTTTATTGTTCTGTGATCTTTTCTGAAGACTGCGTGTGTCTATCACTTACAATTTTCAAGTTATAGTCATTTGAAAATTTTAAAAAATAGTAAACCCCTCCCTTCTTTATGCCCCGTTAAAATACCCCTTAATAGACCCCAATGCACAAACGATTGGTTGATGGCTCCCCTAGACATGTTAATCTAACATTTTATGAAACCCTAAGTAAATCTGACAAGGGGTTTTGGAGAACCGCTGCGGACAAATTCATCCTTAAAGTGGCGGAAGAAGAAAAAGAAAAAGAACTAGATTTGCAATTGCAAGCAATAGCAGATGGCACCCTTCCCCCGTTGCCAGGTGAGTGACAGCCATTTAGAAAATTACAAAATCAAAGAGTGCATTTACACATGCAAATTATCCTTTTTGTAAAGTTTCATTAAGTTTGGAGCATTTTGAAATTTTGGACATTTTTGCTGTTTCCATGGTTACGGCGGCCATTTTGAAAATTCCAATTTCAAAATGCAACTCTTCCTATGCCAGTTACCATTTCTGTAAAGTTTCATCCAGTTTTTGCAGCATTTTGATTTTTTTTGTAATTTTTGACATTTATGCTGCAGCCATGGTTACAGTGGATAATTCCAAAATTCTAAAAGCAGACATCTCATTGCCACATGTCATGTTATATATCAATACAGTTTCATTGACTTTGGTGAAATACTCTTTTAGAAAATGCTGATTTTATGCATTTTCCCATAGGGTCAATGTTAAACTTAGCCCCAGTTTCCATGACAACAGCGGCCATTTTGGAGTATCCAAATATTGTCTTGGCATCTTGGCATACTGGATAACGTTTTCATTAAGTTTCATCCAGTTGGGTCTTATAACGGAAGAGTTAGAATTTTTGATATTTTAGCTGTTTCCATGGTAACGGCAGCCATATTGAAAATTCCAAAGTCAAACTGCAAATCAGCACATGCCAGTTACCATTCCTGTGGAGTTTCTTCCAGTTTGGAACACTTTGATTTTATTGGCCATTTTTTACCATTCCATAGCAAGGTGCACAACTTTACATGGGGTCCTCATTATAGTAGAGTTCCATCAACATTGGTCCATTGGAATCCAAGAACTCGCGCGGACAAAATTTGTGCAAGAAAGATAATAAGAAAAAAAAGAAACGTAGAATAACAGTATGTCACCCCAACTCCGTTGAGGGTGCCATAAAAAGAAGAAGAAGAAAAATAATAAGAACTGAGCAAAAACAATAAGTCTCCAAACTTTGTTTGGGAGACTTAATAAAATTCGTAAGGGTTCCGCGGAACCCAGTGTCTCGCCTACTTTTGCTGTTAATCGCAGGCTCAACAAAAATAAGGGAAGAAATTAGTAAAAAATATTCCTCTCTATACTATCTTTTGATTTTAAGTAGCTTCTGTCCAAGTTTAGTAAAAATCCAGGATAGTTTATGAATCTAATAAATGTTTAAAAACTTAAACTGCAGACTGTATGTAATGTTAACTGGAAGAAAAACTAAGTCCATTTATAAGTAAAATACGGAAAAAATGGATTTTTTTTTTACAAAATTTACTT